GATTTTTAGACCGAAATTAGACAAGTCTTTGTTCATGACTTCCCGATTGTTGTTTATGCAAGTTGTAGTGTATCGTGAGCTTTACTTGGACGTATGGATGGTTCTTGGAATCTGGGTGGGCCTCAGGAGGTTTAATCGTTCTCTTTGCAACGACATTATGGCCATTGCTACGTGACCACCCCTCATATCCTCCGGCACCTGTTGAACATATGGACCATTGTTATTGACAACATGCATGACATTAATTTGACACCCCAGAACATTACACGTAACATGCATGTGTCCTTTTTATACTTATTCATTCATTTATTTTTCATACTATTCTTTTAAACATGCGGAAACATAACAAAATATCCACACACATGCCACGCAAGAAATCAAACTAATTTGATTACTGTTGGTCATCCTTGTATTGATCCAAACGTCAAAAGGAAGATACACATTATATAAGTCCTGGGAACAGGTCGGGGTTACATAGCAGCACTGTATAACTTGCTAATCAAAAGTCTGCATATACATCACCGCCACAATTGAAATCAGGTGGACCATGAAAACCTCCTTAATGGTTCAATCAACTTGCCATTGATAATACCGTACCAAAAAAGATATAATGGGTGGGCCAACTCAAGATGGGCTAAATTTCCGTGAGCCACAAGGCTCACAAGCGTAGCTTATTTGCCTATCACTATAATAAAAGCGCACCTTTGGAAAAACTAACGCTGTTTTTTTCATATGCAAACACACTCTTTCGAACATAACGTTTTTCCTTTTCTTAGGCAGTAAGCTTTCTCCTTAATGGTCCAATCAACTTGCCATTGATAATACCGTACCAAGCAACAAAACTACCCTTTACTTTATCCCGAATAGTATAACTATATTTGATATATACCACTGTCGTTCCGGGTCCTTGTACATTCTGAACGTCAAAACCAATAAGATGTGGTGACTGGGCCAAAGCGATGCCAATCAACGCTATTGCTTTGCAAAGTGCCCTCTTAGAGGAAGACTAGAGGTGGCAAAAATGGGTCATGTGCCCATTGTTTTATCGCCTAAATCTAATATATATATATAGGTTAGTATGAGATTAATAGAAGAAAGCTCAATAAATGACGTGTTGCCTAAATCTAAAATATAAGCAAGAGATCATCAGCTGAACGAAAATCTGATTGCCCGAGTGCCTTCACTGTCATGAACTCAATATGGTATCATCAGTCATCTGGGCAATTTGGTAATGAATGATGGAAGGGTGCGCAGAGGACGCAGGACCTCTCTCCCTCTGTCGCTTTCGATAGACCATCGCCTTCTCAAGTTCCAGTTCTGGGTAACATAATCACTGCTGGACGTGGACGGTTTGCAGGACCTAAAACGACGTTTCCTGATCACAAAAACTTAGTAAGTAGCTGCCCACAGCCGGTCGAAATCATCAGGAAAGAAGCTAACAGACGATTCCAATAACGAGTGCCAAACTTCCGAGATTCTTAGCTGCAGATTGCCGATCAGATCAATCAAGAACTGCTCGGATGGAGAACCAGAAGATACTGTCTAACATCTCATGAAACTTGTAGAAGGCAGTAAGTATCTCAAATCTTGAAGGGTTACGCATCTTATTGTTTAGGATACGTTTGTTTCGCGGAAAATGAATAAGTTGAAAAATATCTTATTGAAAATAATCGCTTGTATTGCTCGAAATAATTAGTCAATGCAAAATGTTTTCATTACCAACAACAGTTCATGTCTAAATATATTTTAAACTGAAGTAAGTTACACATAATTCATTATAGCCTATTTCCTGGCATTTATATCACTTAACAAGTTGCAAAAATGAAGAAGAAGTTTGAACAGAATAACTTACAAAAATTCAAATCGGACCCTAAAATATAGACATTATCGATAAATATATTATTGCTAATTAAAGCGTAATTGAAATTTTTTTCCAATAATTTGATTTAGCCCAGTTGAAAAATTACACTGAATAAAAAAATTCACTTTGGTTGAAAAATAAAATAATTTTAATACATAACACTATCCATTAAATAATTACAACGATATAAAAAAATAACTCCCGCTACTTTAATATTCATTTGAAACTTGCAATAAAGTATATAAGCAAAAAAAGATTACAATTGCAATTAAGTTAAAAGAAAGATCATTTATATTCATACTATATTTTCTTTTTTACTTTTTTGAACAAGCATATTTCAAGTATAGCTTTCCTCATAGTACCATAAAAGATCATTTGTTTTTGTATACTATTTTCTCTGAAAACTTAACATTACAAGGTTTCTTCTACCACACATTAATGATAGGCCTTCATAGAATATGATGCTCTTCTACAAAATATAAAACAGATTTTACATAATCACGGACTTTTTTCTTATATTTCCTTCTATCTTAACGTATTAGTGATGATTAAAAAATTGAGCATATACACAAGACCACGCCAGTGCAGGCTAAACAACTAGTTTATGTTGGTTTTGAATGTAATGGATGCATACCCACATGTTAATTATAGATTTTTCACAAAAGAAAAAAACATTTACCACTATTATTCGTTACATGTCGAATGTCAAATTAATTACGTTGCTCGCCGTCACTGAATAAACTAAAGTTTGCTAAAACTATCCTCAAGGTTTTAGAAGCTCTCCCAACAAAACCACATCCTCGTAGATCATAGAGAAGATTAGAAACTTTCACAACCCATCCCTTGTTTGATTCTTGAGGTTGTTTGGAGATCGTGCATGGGCCATCATTGCTCGATGATCTTGTGCTAGCATACAAAATCATAATTGTTGACACTGTGTGGTGTCCTCGAAGGTTCCCACTTCCATATCCATAGCATCTTGAAGGAAGAAGCACGACTTTTTGTCTCGGAAACCACGAAAGCTTTCCATTATAAGTATCATCAGCTCATAAATACGACTTAAATGCGATTAATTGTGGCTTTTACTTTTTGGGTACTTTAGCCATTGAGCGGAGATTGCATCAAATCAACAGAGTGCGCTGAGTCCTTCGCCACTAATTACGAATTTTGAGAAGATTAGTACCCAAAATCTCAAACATCGTATACGAAATGCTGCGATTAAATCTTAAAATTTCGAACTATTTCAATTAAATTCTGAATCTTTTAAAAAAAAGGATAATCAGGTTCTTTTTTAGAAGAGTCACTAGCGAGATTTGTCCGTTGTTATGTTACCACTAATTTTTTGTGAAAAATATTTGAGTTGAGCATTTCAATTTTCAAACCTGCTCTCTCATCTATAAATTTTTCATTTTGAATATGAAAATGTGTTGGGCATTTTGGCGGAAGAATCGATCATGTGAAATCTGTTTCTTGCTCTAGCCAAAAAGCCGGGAGAGGTTATGGTTTTTTAATTGCACTAATAATACATCTAGAAAAAAACAAAGAAATATAAACATGATCATAAAGTACACACATACATATTTTGGGAAGAGAATGATACAAATTATTCATGAATTTTGACCTAATATTTAATGCGATTTTTGAATTTTTAATTTATTCAATGTGATTTTTAAACTTTAGCCCCATGTATAATGTTATTTTTGAACTTTAAATTGGTTTGATTTAGTCCCTAAACTTTATGAAAATATTCAATGTTGTCCTTCCATTAATTCAAGTTTAGGTATAATATTGAACATTTTCATATAGTTCAGAGATTAAATAAAAAACCAAAAGTTTATAGATCACATTGAACAAATTAAAAGTTTAGGAATCACATTATATATTGGGTCAAAGTTTAAGGATTGTTTGTTTCATTATCCTTTCAAGAAAATGCAGATTGATTATAGATTTGTCTTATTTGGTTTAGTTTGCCTTAATCAACAGTGGATTGAGCCTGTTTTGAAATTTTTCCATAGCAATTTTAGTCGTGAAAGAGAGAGTTGCGGCTTTTATGACGCATTTGACAATTAACCTTGTAGCGGTAATCCTTTCGCAATTGAAGCAGCTTACAACAATTTTTCGAAAATTCGAACTGTTGCAATTTCGAATTATATAGTCAAATAAAAAAAATTAGTACTTCACACATAATCATAGCTAGACCAAGCGGATATTTTAATCTACTTTTATTTGAGTTTTCAATAATTAGATTTTGTTGACAACCCTGATTAACGAACGATCGATTTTGTCTTACAATCAACTCTTAGCTGGAGAGAACTGCCATGATTTACATCAACAACTGATCCTTCAAGTGATTGATTCTTGTTTCTATTTTTACATTTCAAAACGCGAATATCTATTATTAGATCTAATATATTATTCTTACCGTCATCGTTACATCACTCTGCTGTAAAAAATGCAATAAAAAGCGTGGAATTTATAGGATTTCCACGTCATTTTTAAAGGAGCTGCTCAAGACGTTCGATTGGACTTTTCCGAAACAGAATCGACGCGTCGTTTCGATAGTCATCACTCCGTCACTCTTTCTTCGAAAAAAAAATACACATTAATGGAAAATATGATATAGACGAGGGGATTTCTACATCATTTCCAGAAGATTTATTCAAGTCATTCAATTGGGATTCTCCAAAATACAAGAGACGAAATGGCTTGGCTAACCTCATAGCAATATCAAGAATTGAGTAATGCCCATCATGTTTAAACATTTTCGAAAATAATATAAACGATTATTTTTTTAAAATTAATTTATTTTTCACGAAATAAATACACCTCGTCTTTTAGCATTTAACAAGTGAAGGACAAAGGAAGGGGAAAAGTAGACCGAGAGGGCAAAAAGGCCGTGAAACGGTTGACCCTAAAACTAGCTGTACTACACATGTTGCAGTGCAGGAGATTTGTGAGTTATATAGACATAATGGTGGCTAGAATTGGACCGTACTCCTCCTCCCCACCCCCAAAAAAGGACAGGGATAATTATCACAAATTTCTGGATTTTCTTTGCTTCTTGAGCATTTTCTGTTGAACAAACGCTCGTCACCTACTCCCTTTTTGAGCCTCCCCCTCACACACACACACACACACACACCATTTCTCCCCCTCTCTTTCTCTTTGATTCCTGTGTGCTTGTGTGTATTGCGTGAGCGAGCGAGCGAGAGAGACAGAGACAGCAATGGAGAGAAACAGGGTGTGCAGGATCTGCAACAGGCGTTTCTCTAATGGCAAAGCCATGGGTGGTCACATGAGATCTCACTTCGCCAAGCTCCCCCCGCGCCTCCCTCCAGCCACCCTCACCCCGTCTTCTTCGCTCTCTCTATCCACCCAGCAGCAGCAGCAGCAGCAGCAGCATCGAGAGAAGCCTCGGGCTTCGGTCCCGCCGGCCGCCCAGGATCGTGTCGCGACCGTCCACGACAGAGGGAGCGACACCGAGTCGTCGCGGCGACGCGGGAAGCGGAACCGGTCCAGGCGGCGGCGGCGGCGTCGTGACGGCTCGGCGGCACGGGCCGATGCTTTCTCGAATGCCGACGTCGAGCAGACGATAAGCTCGGTCTCGGAGACCGAGACCCTGTCCGAGGCAGACGTTGCTGTGTGCCTGATAATGCTCTCCAGGGACAAATGGCCGAAACGAGCGAGAACAGAAGCGGACGAGCACGAGGACGACGGGGACGACTCGGTCTCCGTGACACAGACGGACAGCCGGGCCGGGTCGAGTCGGCCCAAGTACCAGTGCGAGACATGCAACAGAGGTTTCGGATCGTATCAAGCTCTCGGCGGGCACAGGGCGAGTCACAAGAAGATGAGTGACGAAAGCCATAATCACAAAAGACTTGCTTTCGAGTGTCCTTATTGTCACAAGGTGTTTGATTCCGGCCAAGCTTTGGGTGGGCACAAAAAGGTTCACAATGAAGCCATCACTGTCACTGCTAAGAAGAGCAAGAACTGTGGCGAGAGTTCAATAGATCTTAACCTACCAGCACCAGAAGAGAACGGTGAAGAAGAAACGACAGCGAGTTTGGTGGAGATTTCTTCAGTCTCCAATGAAGAAACGCTTTATCCAATCAAGAAGGGCTTCCTCCGGGTCTAGACTAGGGACAGTACAGTGTGAATCAACTATAATTTCAAGAATTGGGATTCAACAGTTCTGTAGAGGTAAATAATACAGTTTGCTTTTGCGTTTGTATATGATTTTCCGAATGCCGGAGCTTGTTCGAGCATCGAGATAAAGCTAAAACACATGAAAGTTTCAACAGATTACTTTTTCTTCTTTTCTTCTTTTAAGGTTGTTTTGTAGGATAAATGTAAGGCATCAAATATCCTGTGTGCTTTCATTTGCTTGCCGTTTAGGCAATTTGACTCGTGATGTCAATGGCTTTGAGGTGTTATGGGTGGGGGGCTCTGGCTCTGTATCGTCCACCCCCCACCACACAACAAAAGAATCAAAGATTAAGGGGGAAAAGGACAGAGAGAAGGACGCCATTGATGGGGGGGGTTACCCTCAGTGGAATTAAGTGATTCGAGCATTAATTTGGGGCTTTGAATGAGGTGCCAATTGTGCTGCTGATGGTGCTCGCTGCGTGGGAAGTTATGGAATGATTTGGTTGCTGATCCACGGGGATTAATGAATTTGATTTGGGCTATAGCAATGCAATTGCATGGTACTGTGTCCAGCTGTTTTCTAGCTAACCGTTTCCTTCACTCCCCCGCTACGGAGTCGAGAGAGAGAGAGAGAGGGAGAGGGAGAGAGAGAGAGAGAGTTTGTTTGGATACGGAAATCCGGAAAAGCACCGTCGACCTGTTCATTTTGTTGGGTCGTAGCTTTGTTGCTTCTGTACGGTTGGCCAACAGGTCTATGTGATATGCGCACGGCATCTTTCCTTCTTATCTCTAGTCTAGGGAGAGTCTGATTATTGACCGCACTCCTATTTTTTTTTTCCATATTTAGAACTATCAAATGAATGGGTCAGGAAAAAAAAAAAAGGTTCGACCCAAATTGACTCATTTCTACGCAATACAACTCTAATGATCCTTTGACAAAAAAAAAAAAAAAACTTCAGTGATCCATACCCGACTGGACCTGTAACTAAATCTAGGAAAACTTATGCATAAACTAAAGTGAAAGCACAAAATGAGTGATAGAGAGTCATAGGAGGGGATTGGATTTAAGTAAGTTATGAATCCATTTAACACCCATGCTTAACCCATTTATGACCCATATTGTTGAGTGTAAACTCATATATGATTCATTTACTGAATATAAATAATAGGGGTGAACATGGTTTGGATGGGTAGTTCCCACCAGTTCTGAAAAATTGAAACCGGGAAGCGCCTGTTGGTTCCATGGATTGACTCGAGAACCGGACCGCCGGTTCGATCCAGATCCCGGGTGGGTCCGTGGAATTGGTCCCTCCAAGTTTCACGCAAATGGAGGTGACTAAGAGCGAGAGAGGGAGGCGATGAACGACCGGAGGCGTTGCCGTGAATTGATAGGAGTTGAGAGTCGAGGCCGTGAGTTGATAGGTGATGAGCTTAAGAGTTGAGACCATGAATGAGAAATAGAGAGACGACACAGACAAAGTAAGAGTGAGACGAGATGAGACGAGACGAGCGTTAGATTAGGGATTTTAGGGTTTTCATTCTCTTAAAATGTTTTTTTTTTGGTCGGCAATTTTTCTTAAAAATTATATATATTACCAGTCCGATCCGGGTGGGTAGGTGGACGGTTCCACGCCTACAACCGAGAATCGGATTGTTACTCACCGATTCTAGTAAATTGGAATTGGGAATCAAACCAGCCCCATAGGAACTGCCGGTTCCGGACTGGTCTGATCTAGTTCCGAGTAGTTTTCGGTTATTTTGCACACCCCTAATAAGTAACTCATATAACAACCCAACCCATATTAAAAATGAGTTGGACCCATTTTGGTAGGTATAACCATATATGATCAGTTATCTTTCGCATAATAGGGAGATTTAGATACAATAGCTCTTACATTTTCAAGCCTATAAGTTTTTTCTCGTTCGCACAGGAAACTTGACTCGGAGCCGGTACGACACAGACCCAATTTTCAGATGGCGCGACCACATTTTCCGCATCGTATAAGGTTTGTAGGTTTCAATGAACTTGTCGTGTTTGGGAATAATTAGAACCGTTTGTTCACCAACGTGACACATAGATGTTCGAACTTGAAATTTTCTATTCTCTTTGAGGATCCTATTAAAGATTCGTTTGAGAAATGTTTGACAAGCCTTTTTTATTTTTTGACGGTCCTACTTTTACTCTCTTCTTACTCTCATACTTTTGTTCCGTTTCTTTGCAGAGCATGAGAGTCGACCCCACATACGAAATTAAGGGCGCAAATGATAACCATTTTGTTTTCCTGTTTTTTTGTTCTCCAGAGCAGGTTTGGAACAGAAATCCATTTGGTAAAATAATTTCATTTTTTTATTTCTGGGACAAATTTTGACTCAGAAATAGATTTGGAATAAAAATGAGAAGTTAATTTTTTTTACTTTTTTATTTCTGAAACAGAGACAAAAATAACAACTCTCTTTTATTACTCACCCTTGCTGCCCACCATAGCCCACTCGCTGCTGGCTACCGGCCGCTGGCCACCCCACACCGCCAACCGACCGGTAGGAATAGAAATTTTGTATCGTAATCAAACGAAATTCTATTTCGGGAACAGAAATTTTGTGTCGTTATCAAACGCTACCTTTTGCTCAGAAACTTGTCCGGGAAAGAGAAATAGATATTTCTATTTTTAGTCAGAAATAGAGCCAAAAAAGAGAAATGATTTCATTCGCGCCCTAAACATCCTCGCCCCATCCAATCCTCTTATCACTGAGCACGTGGCCCAATGGCGTTTGACCAGGCTTTGGGCGCGAGGAAATTGGAGAAAATTAGTGGGCTTTAAAAGCCGACTTGTGCTGGGCATTTCCAAAGGGCCCAAATACACATCGAGGTTCGATGGTTGACTTTTGATTTTATATGAGCGACCTTTCTTGAATTTTATTTGACCAATTGAAAAGTTCAGTCTACATTTGCACCGACGGCGTTCAACGTGAAAGCCTCGTAGTTTCTCTGCGATCGTGAGAGCTTTGAAGAGGAAGACTCGAACGTGCTGTCAACTCAATTTTTGTTTTTCCACTACTTACAAACGTGGACGATGAGTCGCATTTGCATCACTATATCATACCATTAAGATTGGTATAGGCAAAACTTGGTACCGAGTCGATATGGACACCAACAACCCTTCCCGCCGCCACTGCCATCGGTCGCCGATGCCGACGATGCAGCCACCTCCGCCATACCTCGCCCGAAGCAAGAGCGGAGCTCCGACCACCAGGTCGCTCCCCGAAACCCTTGCCCCTAGCCAAAGATTCACCGCCATCGTCCGCTCCAATTCAACTTCTAAATCAAGGGCCAGATCGTCAAGTCACGACCGAGATGACCACATCGACAACAGTAACGGCAATGTAAGTTCGGCCATGCTAAAGAAACGCCAGCAGAGTAATTCCTCCGGGCTGGTAGTACCAAGAAAGACACGGTCCACCCCACCTTCGCCCTCCACCTGGGCCCTATCTCACGGTCGAAGTTCATCAGGGGCGGGATCATTAGCGACGGAAGTTTCTTCCGGGTTCAATGCGCCGAGGGCTAGTAATAAGAAATCGGAGAGCAAAATCAATGGAGGTGGTGGTAATGGCGGTGCAGTTAGTAAGGTTTTGAAGTACTTCAAGCAAAAGAGGAAGGTGTCGCCTCTGCAAGAAGAGGAGATTCACAAGTTACGCATCTTGCATAACTCATTATTGCAATGGAGGTTCGCTAATGCTCGTGCTCGAGCAGCCACGGATAACGCAAAAAGAAACACCGAGGTACGCTTTTTCTATCAAGTTTGAATTTGATAATTAGCCAATCTGTTAACTCGTATCACTATGATAATGTACCAAAAACTATATGGGAATTCATCTGGTACATATTCTGATATCTTCTTAATTAGTTCTCAACGATTTCAGGAAAGACATCACTCTAAAGTATAACAAAAAACAAGTCAAGTTCTTCAAGAACTCTGTATATGTACTCAAACTAAACTTCCATAAACCTTTGGGTTTGTTTGATCATTTCTGCATTATTATCTTTATCATCGGCATTAAGATTGCTCGCACACTGGTGATCATAGGAGAAATTGCTCCTGGTGTGGCTCAGGATATCAAAGATGAGATGGTCAGTGATGGAAAAGATTATTGAAATGCAAAGACTGAGACATCATATAAGGTTGTACGAGATCATAATCCCTCAGGTTCATATGCTGCAAGAACACTCAGCAAAGCTGGAGAGGAAACACGGTGAAGCGCTTGGCAGGTTGTCCAGAAAGCTGGTCGCTCTTTCCCACGTTCTTCCTCTCGAAAGCGCGAAGGTGACTGTGATTTGTTGCGCTTCTCATTTCATTTCATTCTTCAGTGAATTCATGACGCATTCTTCAGGATCTTGATTAAACAGGGTGAGCGACTAAGGGAAATCTATTACATATTACAGGCCGATGATATGGTGTCCGTTGCTGGAGCTATGAACACGGCAATGGAAGCATTGGACAATATGAACTCGAGAAATCTCCATTTTTTCTTGCAGGTTCTTAGTTTTTGTTTTTTTAGCATTTTATTCCTATCATGAAAATAAGGTATGCATCTCACAAAGAATATGGAAAATCTAACTTGCAATTCAATGCTTTTTATACGTTGATTTGAGCAGGCTGAGGAAATGTATCACTTGATAACAGAGCTTATAAGCACCCTCGATAGAGAAAGGCAGTGTCTTCAGGAACTTGAGAAGCATATACCCATCTTCACTGCCTTGTTGGTGAGCCTCAACACAACATTAATCTGTTACTTTCATTTCTGAATTCTTTAGTTGTTTTCTTGGTTTGGCTTAAGCAATGTGTTTGCAATATCGCCAAAAAGACAAAGCAAAGGGGACGAGTGGTCTTATTTTGTAGAGGAAATGACATAAATGGTCCCTGAACTTTGGCTAAATTAGTAATGTCATCCCTAGACTTTTAATATGATCAACGTGGTCCCTGAACTTTAGCCCAATGTGAAATGTCGTTCTTGAACTTTTAATTTGTTTAATGTGATCCTTAAACTTTTGGTATACATTCAATTTAGTCACTGGACTATATATGAAAATGTTCGATATTGTCCCTTAACTGAATCAATGGAATGATAATATTAGATATTTTCTATAGTCTAGGGACTGAATTAACATTTACCAAAAGTTTAGGGCCCGTATTGAATTGAACATATTAAAAGATCAAGGACGACATTGCACATTGAGCTAAAGTTTACATATTACATTGAACATATAAAGAGTTTAGGGACGGCATTGCATATTGAGCCAAAGGTCAAGGATCATTCGTGTAATTCCATATTTTGAATGTTGGAGAAAATTACCAAAAAAGTCATAAATCTATTGTAGTTGTGTCAATTCAGTCTTAAACCTTTCAATTAAGCCAATGTAGTCCTTCCAACCAATTTTGACCGGAAAAAACTGACATAGATGCCAGCTATCCTATGTGGCATGGTCGGTGCTGACGTGGATAATTTTTAAAATATTTTTTTGCATTTTTCATTTTATTTATTTATTTATTTTTCTTTCTTTCTTTCCTTTTTTTCTTCTAAGCTCGGCGAGGGCCGAGAGCCTCATCAAATTTTGTACAAAAAAAAGGAAAATAAATAATATAAAATATAAAATTAAATTAAATTTTAAAAAAAACAGAAAATTTTATAAATTTTATAAATTTATAAATTTGTCCAGCTCAGCGCCGGCAGTCCTAGATGGCACTACTGGCATCTATGTCAGCAAATTCAAATAAAAAATGGCCGAAAGTACTAAATTGGCAAATAGTAAAAAGGTTTATGACTAAATTAGCCAAATTGAAAGATTTTATGACTGAATTGACACAAATATAATATGTTTAAGAATTTTTTTTAATTTTCCCGATTTCCAATGGGCTCCATCTTCCGCATGTTCCCCAGAAGGACTCAAGATCTATTAATCAACAAAACCCAGCATTTTAAGTTCGTGTCGATCGTCAAATGTAGAACAGAGCTGATGTCTTCTTTGGGCATTGACAACTCTTTCAACCTCTTACGACGTGCAGGCAAGGGAGAAAAGCTTGAGAGCTCACATCATCCAAGCAAGAATCAACCATACTTCATATCAGTCCTACCATTGTTACATACACGAATCAGTCTTTGTCAAATCTACAGCTATGGCAGCAAAAATTTCGCCGAGGGTAGAGGCGAAAACTTGGCAAATGTCCTCCAAAAGCTATACAGAAACGAATCCATGCAATGTTTAAGCACCCCAGTAAACTTTGTGTATTATAATTCAATGTGATTCTGAACTACTTATACTTGATCAATATAAAACTATTTAGTATTTAACACAGATTGTTCAATAGAAAGTTGCATTTTTCCAGGATAAACTTAATATTTAGGTTGTATCTAACACTAAACACACATGGTGCCTGCCACATTCTTCAAAAGCTAACGTCTCGCGCCGTACACGTTTTTTTTTTTTTAATTTATTTCTGGCACGACATAACCAAACACAGTCGATCTTCCTCCATTTATTTCTGAAACTTACTGCATGATCCGCACACAATGTCGGTGGCGGAGTGGTAAGAACGGCCAAGATTCGGTGCTTTCGGCCGGAAAGAAAGGATTGAATTGCACCAAAGTCAAAGCACGAGGAAGAAGAAAATTGTGTTTTTCCTCCGACATGGAACCCTTTGTCAACGCATCTACTCATGACTAAACAAAGATAACGTAAGTTTCGTAAGGCGAATGGAGCACGCTTCCCTGAGACAAAACGACCACGAGACAAAACGACCACTGTGTTTTGAGTTCTGTCCAGTCTGATTATGATATAGACTTGAAGAAACTCGTTTTGTTCCGACTCATTGTGCAGACGAGTTTTGAGTGATTTTCATGTACAGCATGCATATGCATGTGTTGCGGGTTTTCGGCCTTGGACATGGTCGATTAAACAGTGAAGGTGAAATTTTGCAAAAGGTCTCACACATCACTCGATAAAAAAGCAACATGGCCTAGCCGAACAAGATAAAAACACGCTCGGAAATTCTATTTTAAGTGTAAAAAGAAAACCACTTCTGCTATACCAATCCCAACCCAATGTGAAAAATCAAAAAAAAGGAAAAGGGGGAAAAGAAAAAAGGAAATCCCAGTGACAATACACCAACGCCATATTAACAAACCAATGCTGGCTTCTGTGGACCTCCATCACCACCAATTTCTTCAACATTAATGGTTAAATTCCCAGGCAATTTTCTGTTGGGCCTCGCCTCATGCAACATCAACACCACGTCCCTCATGGAAGGTCTATCTGCTGGGTTCTTGCTAGTGCAAAGCAGTGCAATCCTCAGCAGCTGGATCATTTCCTCCCTCACCGACACGCACGTCGCGCCCGCGTCCCCGTCCAAAATGTCGAGGATGCCGTCCTTGTTTTTCATTTTCGACCTGACCCAATCCACGATGCTATTGCCTTCGCCGAACTCGGGATCAACTGATCTTTTGCCGCTCAGCAACTCCATCAGCACCACCCCGTAGCTGTAGATGTCGCTCTTCTCATCGACTTGTAGTGTGTAAGCGTATTCTGCATGGATTTAAGTCGAACGTTTTGGAGAAATTTGTAAGACTGTGAAAATGGTCGAGCCTAACCAGCATAAGTAACTATAGACTATCGACAGGCCATTTGATACTGTAACTTGACATTTGATGCTTCACCATATCTGTTGATGCTTAAAGTGGCAAGATTTGTCCCTAAAAAGTGCCCTCTTTTGCTTTTCAGATACACTCAGATACACTATAGACATAACTAATATTAGAGGCTTTAGACATGTTTTTGAACTATTAAATAGCCGACTGACAGGAAAGAAAAGGAACGCATACAAATAGGGTCATCTTGTTTGTGGAAAAGCAGGCCGGTTTATTACAGATTGTGTACTAAATACCCACATATAAACTATTCCATGGTGTTGGTGAGTCTAATGCAGTCATAAGACTTGTATCTGCATCTATAGCCTAAAATATGCAACAACAAAGAACGTTTAGAGAGAAAATGCACCTGGGGCAATGTAGCCATAAGACCCTGCGATCACGGACATGGACTCATCGCTCTGAATCAACTTCGCCACCCCAAAATCTGCCACTCGGGCGTCCATCTCCGCATCCAACAATATGTTGCTCGGTTTGAGGTCGCGGTGCACGATCAGGGGATTGCAGTCGTGGTGCAGATAACATATCCCCTGAGCCACGCCAAGTGCAATCTTGTACCTAATCACCCAATCAGCCCCCAAATTCTGATCCTTGTTCTTCCCATGCAACAGATCATCTAAATTGCCATTAGGCATATACTCATAGAGCAGCATTGTGCACTCTCTGTTGCTGCAACACCCCAATAATCTCACAATATTCCTGTGCCTCACATTCCCCAACACTTCAACCTCAGCCAAGACCCCTCTCCTCCTCCTCATGTGCTCCTTCTGCTTCCCCCATAGATTCTTCACCGCTATGATCTCGCCGCCCGGCATTTCAGCCTTGTACACCGTGCCTGCAGACCCCATCCCTATGATCTTTTCGGTCATTGACAGGCACTCCACCACGTCATCCGCAGTAAAGTTCAGCCTCTGGAAGGCTGTCAGCTTCCATGGGCCGACCTCCCGTTCTTGATGATTAGCGAATCTAGTGCTATAGTTGGCATGGAAGCACCTAGTGCCAGCAATGAGAACGAATAGGCCGATGCCGAAGGCTGCCACAGTGATCCACACAATCGTGCCCGCAGTCTGCCTTGGCTGCTGCCGTCGCCGCACCTCCACTTCGCCGGCGCCGAGCATGTCACCGGCGCATGGCTTTTCCAGGACGCCCCCACATAGGTCCCGGTTGCCCGAAAACGATGAAGGGTGCAAGTTCCTGAAGATTGTGCTGGAAGACGGTATCGGCCCCGTGAGCTGATTGAATGACACGTTGAAGCTTTCCAACGTCCTGCAATTGTCGAAATTTGAAGGGATGCTTCCGTTCAGGAGGTTATGGGAGAGGTCGACATTGGTGATTGAAGGAAGCGTGGATATCTCCCAAGGGATAATGCCTGTCAGCATGTTCCTACTTAAGTTGAGAGAGAGAAGCTTTTCGCAGTGATCAATGTCCCAAGGAATGCTACCATTTAGCGAATTCCCTCCTAATTCAATCTTATACAAACTTTTGCACCCGATGAAGTCGGGAATCTTGCCAGAGATTTTCGACGAACTTGCCAAGAGAACTTGCAATTTAGGCGTGCCCCATATGTTACTGGGCAAGTTGGTCTTGAAGGAATTCTCCGATATGTCTAGGTACTGCAGAGCTGCTGCATTACCAAGATCGTCGGGAATTTGGCCGCTGAAGCCGTTCTTGCTCAATTCCATGAACGTTAGATTTGGTAAGAGCCCGAAACCTCGGGGGATCGACCCGTTTAGCATGTTGTTATGGATCCTTAGCCTATATAAAGCGGTGCAGTTTGCCAGAGATGCAGGAAGCTCATTTTCAAACCTGTTGGAGAAGAGGACCAGCTTCACTAACTTTTTTCCTAGGCAAAGATTCGGCGGGATCCTTCCTCTGAGCGAATTGGACGACACGTCAAGCCAAGTCAAATTCGAACTCAAGCCAAGCTTCTGCGGGAGGATTCCGGTAAGAGAGTTGTTCCAGAGCTCCAAGGTTTCCAGGTTTGGGAGCTCGCCGATCCCGGCCGGTATTTCGCCGCTCAGGTTGTTGATCATTAATCTCAAATTGGTCAGCTCCTTTAGCATGGCCAAGCCTTCCGGTATCATCCCCGAGAGCTGATTATTTGATAAATCGAGAGCTTGCAGCGCTTTCAGTTGAGCAAAACTTGGCGGGATCTCGTTGGTCAAGTGATTCTTGAATAATAATATCGTCTCCAACTTAGTCAAGTTTCCGAGCTCTGGCCTCAGTGGACCTGAAAGATTGGCAACTGAGATGTCCAAGTACTTGAGATTCGATAGAAGTGCAAATTCCGAGGGGACGCCACTGTTGTAGTGGTTGTACCCGATTTCTAGGTGCTCTAATTGAAGCAAGAATCCTAATTGAGGTGGAATTTGTCCACCTAGGAGATTTCCTTGCAGGTAAAGAGACTTCAGCCTCAGAAAACTGCCATAGCCTGGCGGAATCTCGCCATCGAAGTAGCTTCCCCCAAGGTTGAGGTACTCTAGGAATCGGAGTCCAATAATCTCCTGGGGAAGCGGGCCAGTGAAGTTGTTGCTGTAAGCGTTGAAGATCTTCAGGGACTTGAGCTTTGATATTTCTGGTGGGAGGCTTGAGTTGAAGGAGTTGTGGCTGATGTCCAGTGTCCTGAGCTCTATCAGCTCAAAAATGGCTGCTTGAAGAGGCCCCTCAAAGGCATTTCCACTCAAATTCAAGTGGACTAAGCCTGACAGATACCGGATTTCAGCCGGGATCACGCCAGAGAGGTTGCAGCGAGAGAGGTCGAGGGACACGACTAGAGATCTCTCGGCATTGCACTTCACGCCGGACCACGAGCACCAGATAGGGTCCTGAAGATTCGCGTTGGAGAATAACGGAGTAGGGTCCCAATCACGGAATGTTGAGAGAGGGTCTTTGAGGGATGATTTCAAGGAGAGGAGAGAGACGAGCTGGAGAGGAAGGGAAACGGATAGTGTTAGGGATGATGGCGTGAGGAAGCAATAGGAGAATGTGAGAAGGAAGAGAAGAGGAAGTTTCATGGTTTCTAGGATTTTGTCAGGCAAGTTTTGGTGGAGTTGAGAGAGGTAAAATCAAGGTCATTGAGGCTTTGATCTCGAGAGCTAGTGCTTTCTGAGAGTGGTGATTCATGATTGCTTTCTTCAAGAGAGCATGAAGGATTCTGCACCAGTTGTTCTTCTACTTATCTCTTTATTATGAGTGCGTTCAGCTCCTACAAATTTGTATTGCTCACTTTCTTGTATTCTCTCTCTCTCCTCTCTTCTCTCATGTTCATACCTCTTCCTTTCTCTCACCTCAGTTTTTACTTTTGTCTGATGTCCATCCTATACTTTAGGGTTTTCCTTGGATTTCTTTTTTCACTTTTCTTTTGCTCCTAACTTTTTAATCATTCCTTGCTTGCTTTTTCTTTGGGCTCACAGATTTATTGATCCCCATGAATACATATATTCAGTGAGCGTTGTTTCTCACTTGATCCAAGAAAGTAGAGAATTCAATTTTCCCACCATATCTCAGAGCTGATGTTTGAACAATTTTATGCTTTCCTTTATGTTCTGTCTGTGTATCCTTTTTTTCTTTTTTCCATTCTCTCCCAATTCAAAAATATGGAGCTACCTTAAGAGGCGACCTGTTCTGCTGCTCCATGCATGGACCACAATCAATTAATTAGCAGCTAGTGCTTTTAATGATCGAATCATTGAAAGTGTTACTGGATAAAAGTATGGAAGTGCATGATATCAAGAGGCTTAAACCAGAAGGCACCTGACTGATTGGGTTGATAACCATCTGATTTGCAGAATATCATTTGTTCTATAGCAATTATCTAACCGCCAATATCAATTTGAATGATGAACTCGCTATATTTTATGCATAACATTGATGCGACGAGCAAGTTGATCTAGTCACCTGTCCCTTGTATCAATTAAATTTGATCTATCGGCAACCAAAGAAGTGATCTTCTTTCTTACTTTAGAAGCTCCATCCACATACCGTTTATTGCTCAAATAATTCAAATTTTACCCCAGAAAAATATGTCCACGTAAATTAATATTTTCCTATACATGCCAAGGCTAAATGGTAGGCCCCCAAATTAATGGGACGTGAGTGAGAGAGTGTCAGCAGACTCAAAGAATATACCAAAATCTTCTGGTTGCAGTCCAGCCAGTTTGACTTGAGTAAAGCTGATGATCCATCATGCCCATTGTTTACTTTGTATCATGGATGTCGATAAAAGTATCATCTGGGTATGAACAATAAAGCTTCAACTGCAATCATTTTCACTCATTTTATAATTCCACATAAACCAAGACTGGCATGCATGCTTCCATCTAAGACCTTTTTCTCCATTTACCGTGAGCATATATGTTTATGTACCTAATCTGTTTGTTAGTGCATTGACCCTACCATGTGATAGTAACAGTTCTATCATTCGAATTGTTGGAGTATAATATGTAATACTTAACATATGAAATTCTACATCTTCTTCTGCAGTTGGAGGGCTCTCTTAATCTTTCAACCAAGAAACATTGAATTGTTACAAGAAAGCAACATGGGATGGACTACCTCAAAAATAGAAATTCAATAGAATCAAGATCAAATTGTTAAGAAGAATATACAAACCACTCAATTTATGAAGAAAGTATTGTCAAATGAATATGTTGAGCCAAACAAAATTCATATTCGCAAGATTAAGCTGACATTTCAGCAGAAGATCTAATTCTTTTTTATTGCCTTTGTTGCCCCCAAACTCCCGAGAACACGTGGGATTTGTTCATGACAACAATCAACATACAAGATTCAGTTTACTTAAATCTTGAGTTGGGAAGGTTAAGCTTTTTCTCATTTGGGATATTCCTTCCATAATTCAATGAGTTCCGAGATACTTATCTCTCAATTTTCACTGAGCAGGACATCATGTTATTAAGCTTTCATTATCGAAATTTGCAGCGGCGTGATTTCTCTGATCTTTTCCTTAAATCTCTTTTTTAACCCAAATGGTAACTTGGCACAACTTACAAAGATTAAAAAAAAGGAAACAGGCATGAAAAGGACAAAAGAGAAAAGTTAAAAAGAAGAAGAATAGTACTATGTACCCTAAAATCCATCGACTTACAAAGTTAGCAATCAATGCGATGGATGGCATCACCAATTTACTTGAATCTTCACTTACGATTTTGTCATATGATTTCAAAAACTAATCCCCTGATAACCTATTACCACGGGAATTTACTAGCACATAATCACACTTCCATATATAATCAAAGACTAATTTGATTCCATGAGAGGATGGTGAAGTCAATTTACATCAACATGGGAAGGGCGATCCCATGAAGGAACTGTAGAAGAAAACACAACACGGCACAAAAGCTGCAATTGGGACTGGAGTGTTCTCATTAAGCTTTGCTTTCTTTGCGGCAGGGACAGAAAAGGGGGAAAAAGAAGAAGCAGAAAGGAATGAAATTAAAAATTAGTTGGTCAGTGGGCCCAAGGAGTTTTGTAAGGTGTGATGTGCTGATTGGACCCCCAGTTGCTAACTTTGTCTCCTTCATACCCTTCACTCCCCCACAGCCTTCCCCAATTTTTTTCTTTTTCATTTCTTTTTTTTTCACTTTTCGGCAATAGCCTTCCCCGACTTTCAAAACTATATATAAAAAAAGAGAAAATGCATAACTAGTACAATCCCATTTCATACATATATTAATAGAATTGTAAATTTTCTTGGCAAGGGTATCTCAATTTGGTTGGATCTAGTATACTGAATAAAACAATCATTTCTAATTTCTCTAAAGTTCAACAAATACATAGATCATGGAGGGCAAGGTTGCTATATGATCTCTCTCTTTGGAACTTATATTATACAGACAGAAACTTGATAGTTTAGGGCCTGTTTGGTAACGGACCAAACAGTGCCTGATTTTATTCTTTTGTTTCCGGGAACAAAAAAAAATAGAAATTCGTTTGGTAAATTTTTTGTTCCCGAACACAAATTTATTCCCATAATCAGTTTGGAACAAAATCAAAAATAAAAAAAAAAGTTGATTCTTGATCTTGGGAACAAGAATCAGAAATGGAAAAGAAATTTTTTTTCCTTCTTCTCCTTCTTTCCTGGCATGTAGCTGGCGACCAGCCACAAGCCAAGGCCGGCGAGGGCGAGGGCTGAACCCTCACGGCCTGGGCGAGGGCCGCTCTCGCTTGACCCTCGCCCAAGCTGCGAGCGGCGAGGGCCGCCCTTGCCCAAGCCGCGAGCCGCCCTCGCTAGACCTAGCGAGGGTCCGGCGAGGGCAGCTCGTGGCCTAAGCAAAGGCCGCCCTCGCCGGATCTGGCGAGGGCGACCCTCGCCCAAGCCACGAGGGCAGCCCTCGCCCAGGCCGCGGGCAGCCCTCGCCGAATCAGGCAAGGGCTGCGATGCCCTCGTCTGATCTGGCAAGGGCCTTGGCCTGTGGCCGGTCGCCGGCTCCAGCAACCTAGCCATGGGCCAAGGAAGGAGAAGAAGAAAAAAAAAAGGAATAAAGAAAGAAAGAAATATTAAAAAATTCAAAATAGTATTAAAATATTATTAATAAAAAGAAATTTTGTGCAATTACCAAACGCATTTCTGTTCTTTTTCTATTCCAGGAATAAAAATTTTGGGCAGTTACTAAACGACTTTAAATGCTTAGAAATTATTTTCGGGAATGAAATAAAAAAAATCATTTCTAAGCAGAAATTATTTCCGGGAACAGAATGGTTACCAAACGCACCCCTCATATAACTCGTCTCGAAACCTATTGCATAACCAAGTCCAAATGCTAACCAAACTAAAAAATTTGCTTCCATGATATCCTATCAAATTATCAGTCCTTCATTTTGCGCGAGACCTAACATAATCCAATTTCAGTTCTATTCTATATGCACAACAATCTCGTCCCTTCGTGTTTCTTCCGTTTTAAAAACGAGAGCCAACGTTAAAATTTATTTCACGCTACTTGTTTATTGAGCTTATAGTATCCGCCTTCGTCTGGTAATTTTGATTTTAATTGTTAATCCTCATATAAATAAATAAAGGCATTCCTGAGGAATTGACAACATAAGTCGTGGCTCATATCAGTAGTAATTTAAAAAGACTTTCTGTCTCACATCAGCTTGCTTGCATGGCCCTACTTCAAAAGGCAAAGGAGCATTTGCAACTTTGCTTTTCCATTTCAGAGGATGGTGGGTGGGAGTGAGGCGTGCTTCGTCTCAGGCCATGCGTGATTTTTTTTCTTTTTTGGGTCTCAGCTCCAATGCGTCATTTGTTACCGCCAACATAAATTCTACGCCCTTTCATGCATGAACCTTTCGTTTTCCTTCAGTAAATGAGCTGCTATTCATCTGCATTGACGCATGAAATTAGAGGGACCTAAGACCACACCTCATGTTCTGATTCCAAGGCACGCCTTGAGAAGTCGATTTCTAGAGGATTTTGCGTTCCTGGGGGGGAAATAATAATGAGGGGCCAAAGCAAACTCTTACAAAGACAGTTGAAGGTGGAGAGATAGTGAAAGCTGCCAACTTAACTCTTGGGAGGAAGAGAAATCTAGGCACTTGTAGATATGTACAGCTTTTACTCAAATTGTGAGTGTTTGTGTCTTGTTTCCTAGAAACTCTTTTGAAAACTAGGGTTCTTAAAGATCCAACCATTCTCACCAGAAGCCGAGACACCGGTAACTCATATGCAATCTGCACAAGAGTGGTGCTGCACATCATACAACACATGCTTATCAATCTTCATAAAATGCGGCAACAGAAAACTTCACATGGTGCATCATAAAAGGCGAGGATGTCCTGTAAATACATTGGGTCCCCGCAGCACACGCAAGCGAGGTCGATTTTTCTGTGAAAAAAAAAAAGGATTTTCACTGTAGAATTGTGGAAAGGGGAAAAACCTCCAGCAGCCCATCAAAACAACAGGCAGCAATGATGTCAGTTTACTGCATAACTAGAAGAATCCTATGTTGATAGAAATGCTGAGACTTGATAGCAAAGACATTAAAATTTGCATAGCTCCTTATATTACTACTATTTTTCACCGTGCACATGCAGTGTATGCGTACTGTTACACAATCAAAATGGGACTAAGAAAAGGGTGAAAAATGGAGGTGAAACCAGAAGTGAGATCTAAGAGAAATTGCTCCATAATTGTGGGAACGACAAAAGAGAATGATGAAAGAATTGAAACATTCTCAATAATGTCCAGTGTGCCAAGGCAAAAGGGTTGCAAGTGACTGGGACCTGCACTGGCTCATCCACAGTGTAACCATGTTTGACCTCTCTCTCTCTCTCTCTCTCATGCAACACATCATCCGCAAAAGTGGAGAACAAAATGATTAGGATTTGAAGGTGGGTGGAACTAGGCATGTGATGGCTTGCCTTTAAGTCGAGATAGCATCCCACAAAACCAAAATTAGAGATTTACTTGTTATACATCTGAGGGTAAATTTTCAGCCTTGAATAAACCACATCTACATGTAAGGTTTATAAGTTTAATATCATATATAAAACGCCAACATGTAATAACCAATCAAATGAATGTTCTTGTTTAGTAGGCTAAATGGTAAGACTATTTCTTACCATCAAACTGAAAGACCCTATATATCCATGTTAGGATAAAACCTATCCGATATTTATCAGCAAAACATAACAGATTAACTCTAGCTCACCTCTCTTTCACTTTTTCCCTCCATTTCATATTCTTTCCGAAATAAATAACAGAATGAATGAGCAGATAAACAAATTGTCTGATCCGGGACATCACAATTTTGTTTTTTTTTGGTCAGACGGGATATCACAGTTGAACAGCTCTATCTGAATGTTTTCATCGTGGATACACCAAACAACCATTATCCTAAAGTAGAACTGGCCAATGCCCATGATTCCTTTCCTTTTATCATGACATATTGGGTAGGGTAATAATTTTAGTCTTTGACAAATGCGCAGGAATGAAGATTTGCTGTAGAAATTACCCATGTGACCAGAGATCAAATTACAATGATTATCTCATTTGAAATCTCGACTCAACACTGTTCGACTCTTTTTGGGGTCAAGACAAGAAAAGGGAAACACAAGAAGATAATAAAGGATCTTAATGACGGTCCCACGTCATCATTGCATGCCATCACCCATCATTTGGTGTGGCTAATGAAAAAAGGAAAAGATGCTTTAACGTGACAATTAATGGGAGAGCACCGCCCACTCATTTTGTGAGCCCATACTGTTACGAGCGAAAAAATTACCTAATCAGCTTTAAATTTATTATACAGATATCAATTCAGTTTAAAATTTTTTAATTTTATAAATTTAGTCTTAAATCTTCGTACAAAATTTTAATGTAGTCTTTCGGCTTAATTTTCGTCGAAAATCGTTAACGTGGCGGTGCGTTGCATCCGACAGTGACTAGATCGCCACACCAACGATTTTCGGCAAAAATTAACAGAAAAGACTATATTTGAGTTTTACGCAAAGACTTAGGACTTGGTAAAATTGAAAAATTTATAACCAAATTAACATCCGTACAATAATTTTAGGACTGATTGGATAATTTTCTCGACGGGAGATGCACATGATATTTGACAAAAGATACATTCATCAATTACAGAATAATAGTCAATTCTTAAATCCTGTGAAAATTTTCCTGAAAAGAAGGAATGTTTAAGAACTGGACTACAAGCATTTGAGAGCCATTATGCTGCAATCAAATTTCTTCAGTCAGCGAGTCTAATAAAATCCATGATACTCTACCCTATCCTGACATCAGGTTCTGCCTTCTGCATTTTGAAGCAAAAGGCCACCGTGAAAATATGCATTCAAGAATCTTACCTCCAATGCAAAATCTAAAGATGCAATCACTCTGTTTTAGAAAGTTGAATTCACTTTGGATTGAGGAATGCCTGGTCTAAATCTAATAATAAGCATCAATCCCTTTGTCCTGTTTTTCTACTTGAAGCTCTCAAAGATCATAATTACGAATTAAATCTATTGCTGGCCTCTTACAGCGAGATTCCAGCACGATTGAGCACGTCGTGGGTATCTTCTAAATCATTCCTCACGCCCCTCTTCATTGTCAAACATTGCCTACAGGCTACCCACCTGAGAGAGGAGATGCAGATTTCAATATGTCGATGATGAGAGCGAGGATTATCGTGTTAAACCAATTACAGAGCTGTGATAGTTTAAGCCACGGAGTAATACTGCTTTACCCGTTCTTTAAGTAATTCCTTCAGATAGTAAACTTCAAACTTAAATTCCAATGTCTCTTAAAAGTCGGGGGTCCAACGTATCTTCTTGTAGCAGGGAGTTTATTTTGTCTCAAAATTACTTCACAATCAGGGAATGTAGTGCGGGATCAAGCTAGGAATAGATGGCTCTGATGTCTGACTTAAGGGAGGCAATCACCCCATGTCATCATGTACAAGTCAGTAATTTGTTCCATTTTCAGGTCAGTGCTTGCTACCACTATATCTTTCTCCTCTCTTGCCAAATTCATACTTCAGCTAGTAACTTTCCTAGTGCATGCCCTGTTGTGGGTTGTGTCGCCCAAGTAATGCTTGAACATTGCAAGCACTCCTATGTTTAGTTGTCACGTGCTTTCTTGCAACACAACAAGCACTCTTTCCAATTTTTCATTCGCTGAATTGAGCACTCAAAACAACCATGAACTCGTTGCCTTAGAGAACATGAGAAAGGGTATGTATCACTTACACGATAAAGGCTGATATGCAGAAGCAAGTCATGAGGGCAAGAAGTTTTCCTTGTCCAAGTAAATTTTCTCTGAGGTAACCGTAACTACTAAACCAGAAAGCAGCAAAACTGTTGAGCCTGAAGGGAAGCACCCATGCAATGATAAGGATGAAGACTCCTGTGCAAACCGGCAGATCACACTTTTGAGATCAGGATAGAACTTGCCACCAAAGACAACAAAAGATCCAAACTCATTGTTATACCTAGAAATTCAAGGAATTTTTCATAATTAAGCCAACTGCGCCAGCTGATCTTGTTAACATGATATTTGGCACCACGTGTGGATGAGAACACAATCATTCGACCATTTGAGCTGGTTTTCATCTGCAACTGAATGCAGAAATGCCTCCAAAGTTCCTGATGCATAATCAGAAGAGATGTGATGTAAGCATCTCCATGACGGTAGAGTCAGACAGTTTGCTTTTCTACGAACTTCAGATCGCCACCCGACCAAATGACAAATTTCAATTTCTATTTAAAAATCACTTTGCACCATATTATAGTAACTTATATAATTTAAACAGTATATAGATGGATATCTCGTTTCTGCTCTGATATAAGCTGACAAAGATGTTCAGGAAAATGAAGCAGTTCAACCTATACAAAGAGTCACAGAATGCCATATGTATGATGATTAATTGGTAGAAAAGCCAATTAATTGTTCCTCTAAATTTGTTGGTAACATGTCTCATTCAACCAAACAAGCAGTAAAATGCCTAAAGGGACAGTAGAGAGGAGGAGAAGCACAAAGAGATTATCCTAATTGTTTAATTTCACTTGCTCTTCACTATGATGATTATGTATGCAATAGCAGCAAATCTTGGACCCATATTTAAGGAAAAACCGTCACTAATCATTCATAGCCAAGAAAACATCCAGCAGTAGTAGCGGACAACTGTTGGTGATTCTTCATCACTCCATTTTTTACTGTATAACAACCTTATCACGGAGTAAGAGTAACTTGTGCCAAAAGCAATAAATATAAGACCTACAAGGCGTGTAATCAGAGATAAATATGAGAGAGAGAGAGAGAGAGAATTCAAACATGATATTGCCACCGGTTTTAACAGCTAAAACCATTTTTTTTTTTGGTCGGAACAGCTAAAACCTTATTAGTAGTTTTCCATGACACTTTTAACTGATGAAGAACCTGATAAGCATATTATGAAACCTGGGTCCTCATTACTATCTTGTTCAGACATTCTTCAAGTCGAACAATGTATGATAGTACAGCAAATCATGGTGTTTGAGTAACAAGAAAAAAGGAAGGCACGAGACAACTAGGATGCAACTTTACTGGATTTCGTGTAAAAGATCAGCCAAAAGAGTCTACCTAAATCATCAATTTAAGGCATAAAAAAATATAATCAGTAACTGACTAAAAGAAAAGCATCATTGCCTTAGTTAAGGTAATTTGTTATACAAGCCAGAATTACAGATAGGAACAAAGCTAAGAGGCCTACAACTGTAGTTATATACTGTTGTGCATCTATTCGATGGGCCAAAAAATTGGTCAAGTAAACGCTCCAACCACTTAGAATTAGGCCAGGGGCATTATGCAAGTCTTATTTCAGCGTGTGCTTCATTGTGCATAGATAAGATAATAAAGCTGCAGAAATCCTTGTTGATGTTTGAGAGTGTACTGACAAAGGAATAAAGTAACTTTGAAACAGCTTTACTAATTAATAAGCACGATGTAAAAATGAAAAATCATGCAATGGAGTAGAAATCACAGTTGAAAACATGGATAAGCAGTCACTAATTTCTCGGATCTGGACTACGGACACCAAATGGACTCATTAAAATAAGCTCATGTCAATCAAATTAAACCCAATTCACAAGAGTTCAACCGAAACCTATTTAAACTAAGTCAAGCCCAAACCTATTTCAATCTAGGTCAAGCCTATATACACTAAAACCAATCTTGACTTGCTTCCGCTAAAACCATTCTGAGGCATTTTCCTTTCTATGATAATCAACATTGAACCCAGTTTTTCCTTTTCATTCAGCACTACAGTATTACACTAAACACTCTAAGCTTACTTCTTTAATCTATCGTCTTCCTCGTAACGCTGAGAGCCCACCAGGCTTGACTTGCCAACTCATGACCTTCAAGTCTTACGGTTTAAGATCAACATACCAAAATCTCAAGCCACAAACATATAGACTCCACCAACGAACCCTGACATTTGTCACCGGGAATTAACGCCGATCGCAATTGAGCACCATGGGATTCGTATACTCACCATTCATCATCGCACATGCAACGAGAACATTGAATGAGCATTCAGCATGTAAAAGCAAAAATGTGACCAATCACAGAGAGAGAAAATGATAAGACTCAAAGTATTAGCAACGCCTTCGAATACTCAACTCTACTTGAAGAGATTCATGAGTTATGGAATACCGTTTTCATTTGCCCAACTAACAGCGGGATTCTTGTATTATTCAAGCACCCACCGACCGAATATAATAATGAAGGTTTGATAAATCAACCACAAAGTTGGATTCAAGAATTTTCAAGTTTCGGTTTTGGGCATGAAAGTGATAGTATGATCAACGAAAAGACTATAGTATGGCTGTGAAAGGTCAAACACTGGGTGTAATGAACGATAAACTCACGTTGTGAGATGAACATACATTCTGACTTCGTTTGAGCATTTTATCGAGCAGATTGTGAGCGTTTCATCCAGGATACCTATATCCAGATCAAAGACAAGCGATTCGTTCCCAGTCATCACAAACAACAAAAATCTGGTTCGGATCATCGCAACAGCATCAATACATGTTCAAGACACTAAAAAAGCTTCAATTACAACCGAATTTTTCACAAACATCGAATAGCGTTCATGGCCTCGATTTCATTAGTTAGCAGCAGAGTCAGAGCAAACACGGTTTGAACAAGAACAGGGTCGTTACCTGCGATGATTACTGATCAGACTCGAATAAGATGACCATCCATGGGAATGACTTTCAAGTGCAGGAATCAACAAAACAAACAGAGAATGTCTCCACTCGGGCGCTCTAGCCATTGCGACCGCGAACAGAGATGATCAGAGTATGTTCGGCGAGCGAAGACGTTATTTGATTCTATGGCGGCCATCGAACGGTGAAGAGCTCGAATCTTGACAGAACTTGATCAGGCTTCAACCACGGACGTTCTCTCTAAATCAAGTGATGAAGCTCTCTCGGGAGGAGCTGTGAGCACCTGGTAGGGAGTGAAGATCTCCTGTGAAGATTTGCTCGGCGATGAAGTCGTCCTCGAATGCATTGGACCGTAATCAACTGCACCTTGGACCGAATCTTCACCGGGGGAATAGAGAGACGACCTCAAGAGCGCTGGACAACAGCAGACTAGAATCTGCGGGGAAATCGCCGCCAAAAGAGGAGGAACCGCAACAGGGATGGAGGAGCGGCGAAGACCCGAGGGCGAAATGGACGACTCTGCTCCGCCGTGATCGGAACAAACAGCCAGATGAAGAAGCTCGATGGAGGAGGAGCACCTGTTGAATCCTTTCCTGCATCTTCATCGTCGATCGTCGCCGCCGTTGAAGAATGGTTCCTCTCAGCACGTCGAGCAACCACTATGTATATAGTTGTAAGACCAAATCAAAGCTTATTTAACCCAACTCCAATATGTAATAAACGTCAAGGTCAAATTACATTATATACTACTTTAATATAATATTTTCATAATAAAAATGCCCATTTCAATCAATAGTATCAAAGCAGAAATTAATGATCTATTTCATTGGTCAATATCGTCGAAAAACACACTTCAGTAGTCTATTCCATTGGCCAATTTCATCGAAAAACACACGTTAATGATCCATTTCATTGGCCAATCTCAACAAAAAACACATCACATTTAATTAGCAAATCTCATGTTCAGAAATCTAACTATGATCACGGATAATGCTCCGTGAAAAGGCGATCAAGATTCCCCATTGGCAGGTCTCCACCTACTATGTTAAAGCGTGGCACAAATTACCACAATGATATCCTATACTAGTATGCATATTGACACCTAAATTTTAGCTAATTATTTAATAATCATTGCATAGGAAATTAGGGATTAATCTCTAACCCCTAAATAAAAATATTAAAATTAGATTGCATAGCATGTAGTTTAAAAACATATAGTTTAATTACATTTTGCATTGAATCGACAGTGGTGAATGAACCTGAATCAGTCACGTAGATTGAACTTACATTACATGAGAAATTCGGTCAAGCCATGGGAGGTATAGTGATTGAAAATCAAGCCCAGGATGAGAATAATTAAACTTCAATTGAGTGGGATTTAGCCCGTCAGAGTTAAAAAAAAAAAAAAAAGAAGGGCTTTGTGATTAAAAAAGTGCCCATGAAAATTAAGCCTTTTATCGGAAAAACCCATAATCAAGAATAGGGAATAAAAAACCTAATTTGCACTATAAATAGACCTTAACTCTTCGCAATTTGATGGGCCACACAATCCACAGTACGGCCATATTATTGAGAGAAATCACGAAACACAAAAACAGAGAGAGAAGAGAGTGTGCGGCCGAGTCCCTCCACAGCCGCGACCCAGCCTCCTTGCCGACGTCGACCTCCCTTGCAGCCAAGCTCCTCTGCTACTGCTGCTTTGCGGATCGCTGCACCTAGACGACCAATGAAGCTGCTGTGCCGTCGCTGATCGAGAAGCTCCAGACAACGTGCTCCAACCCACGTGTCCAGCAGCCGTCATCTGCCGCCCTTGTTCCGCCCAACTTAGCCGTGACCAGCACAACCCGGGGTCGCCTGAGCCACCGTCATCATATTTGAGAGCCAGCGAGACTCCTACGGAGTTCCATCTAGCCCGACGGTGCCCTGGAGTGTTTTCTGATTGTTCCAGCAACACCGGCTCACCCAACGAGCTCTTGTGGTTTTGTTCTCATCCTTTCTTGCAGGATTCGCCGACGTCCAGCAAGGCCAGAATCTCTCTACCAACGTGAATATCACGTCGGTTTTTGCGGCTACCGCTTGCAAGCCTAAAGTCTAAAGTCCAAGCCGCATCTCTCGTTGCCCCGAAGGCCACAAAATTGAATCATACGGCCACAGGAAGCGGAGCGAGAAAAAGTATAGAAAAAAAAAAGGGGCTTTCAAGGTCTTGAGCGGCGGCACTTGGAGGACTTCTATGGGATCAACGTTCTGCTCATTGGAGAGCATACACTTAAAGGTCTTCACGGAGCACTACACACAGTCACGCACACAAAGGGAGAAGACGACCGCGAAGACTGCTTCGCTCAACGCCGCAGCAAACTTCCAAGCGATTTCATTACGTTCTGACGGGTTTTCCGGCGATTCCAGTCGTGCTTGCTGTGACCAGACCAGCCATAGAGTGATCCCCGCATCCACGGCGACGTCCTCAGGCCAGCAGTGTTCCGAGAAGTCAGTCCGCTGCAAGTCCATCAAGACGACCACTTGTCTTCACTGAACCAATCTTTGGGACAAGTCCAATTGCGCGTTGCTGTGGTTGAGATTCCTGGACGCTGTGTCCGCTGGACAGTTGTTGCCAAAGTAGAAAGAGAAAAAATATTTTATGTGCATGTGATGACTCGTGGGTGAGGTGGCGAGAAAGAGTGCATCATTGAATCATTCACAAATAAGAAGAACGCAAGTGTCCAGGACCGACAACTCCTACAAACTCCAGTCAGCCGTGAGTCCCGTGACCCCCTTTCTCGTCAGCTGCTGCCTCTACGAGCAACGCCACGAGCTGTAGTCCGAGAAGTCCACGCCGTAGGTTGCCCCCTTACGGCCGAGCACTACCATCGTGCATCGCCATCCACGGCTGTGAATCACCGCCGATACGCCGCCATCGACCGTCCCATCCGCAATCCCTATCCGAAGCCCAGTTCAAACTTGGAAGTTATCCGCAAATTAGGTTAGAACATTATCTGATATTGTTTCAAATATTTGATTGCCTAATTTGATTGGTTTATATGTCTTCAGTGGATTAGTTGATTCTTTTGAATGATGTGTGATATATCCGTAAGATTTTAAAACACCCCAAGTTAAGAAACTTTCTTAACTTGATAACGTGCTTGGACGACTATCCGATCTCAATCGTTACGTAAAATCGTTATTCTATCCATAACTAGGGGTGTCAATAGGTCGGGTTGGGTTTCTATGATACCCGACCCGACCTGAATCACGAGGGGCGCATACTTTCTCTGACCTGACCCGACCCAAAACGCATAGAACCCGAAGCGAAAATTCGGGTCGGTCCGGGTCGGGTCGGTCCGGGTTTTCGGGTTTGCGGTTGGGGGAGCAGGAGGAGGAGGTGGGGAGTCGCCGGAGGGAGAGGACGGCGGTCTTGCGCGGTGGCGCCTCCCCGAGCGAGGAGGAGGTGGGTAAATTGGGTTCTTAGCCCCGGCGGCAATGGCGACGAAGGACGGGTGGGTGAGGACGCCGATGGCGGAGGACAGGATGGTGGCCGAGCTCCCGATGCGCCTCGGGCGGGATCCCCACCACCACCACGCCGCATCCGCTCCCCCTCTCCTCGGCGGCGGCGCGGTGTCCCTCTGCCGCCGCCGGGTGGGGGATCCGGCGATCGCGCGATCGAAGGGTCCTCGTTCTGGTGTGACGCCGCGTCGCCGGCGAAGAGGTGTGGCGACTCGGCGAGGAACAGCCCCACGACCCCGCTCTCGTGGAGCGCAGGGACCGCCTCCTCCTCCGGCACCGCCGACGGGCTCGACGACTCCAGCTTGCTGGTTTGCGGCTCCTCCGCCTCCACATCTAAGGTAATCTCTCTCTCTGTCTCTCTCTCATTTGGCTCAAGCTGCGCGGAAAGATGCGTGCGTGTTCTTCGATTGGTCGTAGCTCGATGAGCAGCAGCTCCCGCCGATACCCTGGCCATAAAGCCGCACCGTTCCTCCTTTGACTCGGCCTACTCCGCCATGGTGAGAGAGAGAGAGAGAGAGAGAGAGAGAGAGAGAGAGAGAGAGAGAGAGAGGCTGCGATGGTCTGGTGAAGGAGGAGGAGGAAGAAGAAGAGGCGAAGCGAAGAAGAAGAGGGAAGAGAAGAGGAGGACGAGGAGGACGAGGATGCGCTAGGGTTTTTTAAGTCACGGGCTGGCTGTCAAAAAAGCCCGGCCCGGACCGACCCGGCCCGAAATAAAGATAATATTCAAAATTTAAAACTATTCCCGATCCAGAGGAGGCCCGCCCCGAAGAAGCCCTAAATTTCGGGATTGGGCCGGGTCGATCCGGGCCGGGCCGGGCCGGGCTTTATTGACAGCCCTATCCATAACCACTTGGACACAATAATAGATTTTATTTGTTCCCAAATTTAAATGAATAGTATTCCATCAATATCCATAATCACATGGATATGATCGTTGGTTTATATCGTTTTCCTAATTCAAAAATGCTAAAACAAATCTTGCGGATTGCATGGATTGGTTTCGACGGTGGTGGTTCTCTGTTTATTTGATTTCGTTTCCTTTTAAATAAAATCCGAAAAAGATTAGTTAGAATTTGAATCAATTTTTTTAGATAAGGATGCACGTTTGGGATAGATTTAAATAACTTTGTTCGAATAAGAATGGGATAACCTAGATTTGCTAGACAGATAGGATAATTTTCCAATTTAAATTAGGATTTAAAGTAATTTATTTCCTAGTTTAGGTTAGATATTATTTTAGTCTTGATGTTTATTTAGGGTGATTTCTAATTTCGAATTTTCATAAAAAAAAATACCCAAAAAAAGAGTCACTTTAGTATAGATTAAATTGTCTTTTCTAGAATAGATTGCATGATAATGTAGGCATTTTTTAAATTCCGAATTTCATTGAAAAACACCAAAAATACTTCATCCCCCCGTCATTAGAGTTAGGTCATTTAATCGCATGTCATGTAGTTCGCATGCTAGGTTTAATTAATCGCACGTCATACTTTGCACGTCATGACATGTAGGTTAATTTTCATTTGATCAAAGAGAAAACCCAAAAAAATACATTGAGTGAATTGCTTGGTAATTAGAAATCATATTAGGATTATTGATGTGATTTTCTAGATAACAATGCAGATGCTTACGTTGCTTTGTGATACATTATTCTCCTAATCTAGCAATTTATTTACTGCTTTTGTTATTGGGTGTTACTTTGGTGGATTGTGCACCCGCACGATCACCCCACATGTGGATCCAAACTGCCTGCTCAAATAAAAGAAAAGGTACCGAAAGGGCGTTAGAGTAATCTAACGTAACCAAGTCCTCGTACTCATAGTATTTGGTTCGTAAGAATAAAGTATATCTCCCTATACTTTATTTGAGTTTCTAATCAACCCACCATAAATAGATTAGTGGCGACTCCGAAATAAATTTTTTCGCATGTTAACAACTTGAACCATAAGTCACAAATTGGTAGGGTTTGGAAGGGCCCGAGTTAGGCTTAGACTTAATAATCCATTAGCCGAACCCATAGGTCGTGCACCGCGGGGAAATAGAGGTTGCCACAATGTGCATACCCACAACCCCTCATTGGGTTCACAGAGATACTGAGCATCAAATACTTATCCACGACAATATCATCCACAATCCACAAAATCAAATCCAGAAAACATTTCATAAATCACAATATGGTTCTAAAACCATTTCATCATCCATTTCATAAATCACAATACGCTTCCCAAACTAATCATATAACCTTTTATAACTCAATTCATCCGATAGAAATACTTTTTCGTAAAGCGTTTCTCGTATCATTTCATAAACATAATTCACAAATTGATATATATATATATAATCTTTAATAACATCTTCTATAAAACGTTTCTCAAATCATTTTAAAACTCGTTCCATAAATCAATTCGCAACATAATGCACATATATCCGTTAACAATATTTTTCTTACAACCATTCTCAAATTGTTCTCAAATATCAAAACGTAGTAATTGCCCGATCTAGGATTTTATTCAACAAATATGCTTTAATAACTCATACGATACTCAAATACTTATCAATTTCAAAACATGAATTTATAAACTCAAAGAAGAGATAGCACTACTCTTCTGGGAATGTCTACGATCAAACGACAAAGATTACTCAATCCGTTGAACTCGCAATCCTAACAAATAAGCGAGAAACAACGTTGAAATCGAGTAAAACGCTACCTCAACTACAACTCGGCTAAACTAAGTTGAGCCGCTAACAAAAGACTCAAAGGCGCCCACAAATTGCTCATTCAAAACGATTATCCAAAACCATCCACAACACGAAGCTTGAACGCGAAATTTGATCGCGCCATAATTCTCTCCGCCGAACCCAATTCCAAGCGAGCTTACAGTTAAAATGAATATCTTTTGAAGTAATAGAAGACCCACCACTTGGCCGTCTCAAAATCGAGCCGAAAACCAACAAAAATCTGCCTAAAAGTCACTGGTCGAGCATTGTTCACCACGCACGCTCAACTTCAAAAATTCGTTACGGGCAAACGGTAAGTCCGAATCGAGTTCCGTAAAATTCATGACTCCACGACACCCTAAACTACTAAATCTATATATATACAGCTCAACGACTCAAAAATCGAACTTCGTGGCTTGATTTTTACTAAACTCCAAAAGTGTGCCCTAATTCCGAAAAATACTCCGATTGGACGAACAGGAGGTGCGAGTACTTACCAGGCGTTGTGATATGAAGTTGAATCAGCTTGCCGAGGTCCACGAGGCATTTACTCGCGAACTTTTTCTTTTCTCTTTTCCTTTCCGTCTCCTTCTTTCTTTTCTTCTTTTTCGCTCTTTCCTTTATGTTTCTTGGTTGCCGGAACTCTCGGCCCCTTTTAATATGAGGGTTAATACCACCAAAAACCCAAAACTTGTATACCCGTGATAAATTTATCATAAACTAATTTTTTGACCATGAAAAACCCCAAAATGATTCATCGGTGACAATTTTACTCCAAACTAATTTTTTAACCACCAAAAACCCTAAACTGGTACATTTATGACAAATTTACCCTTTGTTAGTTTCCGTAAAATTTTCCTATCAAATTGCTGAGTTTGATGACACGCGGTAGTTGACGGGTGTACTAATTTGGGGTTTTACTCCCTTATTTGTCACAAGTTTACGAATTTGTGGTTTTTCATGATATTAATCCAATTTAACGGAGGGTAAATTTGTCACAAATGTACCAGTTTGAGGTTTTTAGTGGTAAAAAAATTAGTTTGGAATAAAATTATCAGAGGTGTACCAGTTAGAGGTTTTTCGTGGTTAAAAACTTAGTTCGGGATAAAATTGTCACAGGCGTACTAATTTAGGATTTTTCGTGGTAAAAAAATTAGTTCGGGATAAAATTGTCACATGTATATCAATTTGGAGTTTTTCATGGTATTAATCCTTAATATGAAGATGTCCACTGTTTGCTTCTTTGTTGACTTTTCAGCCCTTCTTTTTTTTTTTTTCCTAAAAAGTCCAAATATGACGGATTTACGGCTTAAGCTTTTGATATAGTGATTCATGGCCGATGTCTTCAAGGTCCTGGAAATCTGGTGTACTAGTTGAGAATTCGTTCGCAAAATTGCAGGAGGGAAAACGAAGAGCTTGAGGAAGAGCTCTGGTTCGCAAAGCGCGCGAAGGAAAAAGAAAAATAGAAATACTAATTTAAGAAAAAGAGAGAGAGAGAAGAGAAAGTGGGCTAGAATAATAATAGGGAAAATAACACAAACAGTTCTTGAACTTTGACTCAATGTGCAATTTGGTCCCTAAACTTTTAATTTGTTCAATGTAGTCCCTGAACTTTTACCCAATATTCAATATGGTCCCTGAACTTTCAATTGGTTCAATGTGGTCTCTGAACTTTTGGTACATGTTCAATATAGTCTCTGAATTTTATAAAAATGTTTAATGCAATCCTTACATTAATTCAAGTTCAAGGACTATATTGTATATTTTCATATAGTTCAGGGATTAAATTGAACATTTACTAAAAGTTCAGGGATCAAGTTGAACAAATTAAAAGTTCAGGGATCACATTGAACATTAGGTTAAAGTTCAGGGACTACATTTAACAAATTAAAAGTTCATGGACCAAATTACATATTAAGCCAAAGTTCATGGACTGTTTGTGTCATTATCCCATAATAATACTAATTGGTAAATGGACTTAATAATCTGAATCGGGTCGAATATAAAAAATCCAAAATTATCTAATGGACTGAGTCGGGTTCGAGTCGAGACTGAGCCGTGCTGAGTCCATCAAACAAAATTGTCCCGAGTCGCATGGGAACAACATTCGACGATAAGACCGGTCGGCCTGTCTGCACACCGTCTTCTTCTTCTTCTTCTTCTTCTGCTTCTGTCGAGGTCTCGACATTCCGCTAGACAAAATCACCGAGAGACGGAGAGATGGGCGGCGGAGGAGGAGGAGGGAACATGCTGAGGCCCGCCGTCGGCCGAGCATCCGCCAGGAGCGGCGGCGGCGCCGGGCTTCGCGAGCCCTTCTCTGCTGCTGCTGCTGCCGCCGCTAACCCCAATTCTGCTCCTGCCGCTCCGAATTCAACGTCGGCGAAATCTGCCGCTTCTCCTTCTTCTAAGAAGCAGAAGAAACCCCACAAGCTCGATCCCTCTCACCACCGCCACTACTCTCTCTCTTCTTCTTCTGCTTCTGCTCCTTCCTCTGCCTTCAACAATCTCCCCTGGCCTCCTGCTGCTGCTGCTGCTGCTGCTACCTCTGGCGTCATACTGCCCACTTGGCCGCCGTATCCTTCTGCACCCCAGCACGACGATAGTGAATGGGTATACGTGGATGGGAATGGTGAGATTGCAGTTGAGTATTTCGATGACCTCGTTCTCGGTCCTGTTCCTTCCAAGTGCGAGGTCGAAAACGCCGTCTCTGCTCTTCAACAGTGAGCCCCTCTCTCTCTCTCTCTCGTTAAGTGAACAGACATAACGTTGTGAGCTTCTGTCTGATTTGTTGCCGTAGGTTCTGGTCACTTGTCTTCTAGAAATATCCCGCTCTCTCATGATGGCGAGTCTGTTAGTATTTCCTTTTCATTTAGTCGAAGGTGCCTTCTTTCTGGTTGTCGACAGAAAGCAGGATTATCATCATCGATTCATTTCATTGTGTCTGGACAGAATAATGGACTAACACAACGCGCTCCTGACTACTTCCAACAGATAAATTCGTCATACGGGTTTTTATCTTCAGGCATTGCAATGTACTCCATTGCCTAATCATGTTGGTGTCCGTAGAAGAGGAAGTTACATCAGCATGCATTTTTTCCAGTTTTTACTGTTCCGTCGTCAAGTTGCCAGTGACTTCATCACAAGTTCAGCTTCTTCCAGGCTGTGCTATTTTCTACAAACCTGTTTATTTGGAAACTTGAGTTCTATGAATTGAGATTACAGAGCTCGGATGGTCTTGACGAGGAAAGATGTCGATTAAGCGCTAAATTTACATGGCTTTTCTCTTATAGTTCTAGTCAGTTTCTATGATTGATCTTATTAGTGTGAGTTCTTCTTTCGGTATTGGCTTGTAATTCCTTCATATGAAATCGAGATCTTTTACTCTCTCCTGTTTAGCTTTGACTTGATCCAAATGCCAATCATGGTGATGAAATGGTTTTGATGTCACAGGGTTTTTGACTCCACTCCCTATCCCCAGATCAGGGATAGATTTGGTCTTCCGATGGATAAGCAAATAGAAAATGAATCTGAAAGCCAATCAAGTTTATTGGACCAGAATTCTGGTGTTGGCTCAGAGCTTGGCCAAGTTGACACTGCTAATGCATCTGATATAAGAACACTGCATCCTTATGGGCCTGAGAGAGTCTATGATGCTTTTGATATGTTACGGAATGAGCCAGCTGTTCAGGTGATTGTTACTCTCTCTTACACATCACGGACAAATAATTTGATTTTAAGGATATTATTATTGCAATATTATATGTTAAAAATGAACATCTCTTGAATAGGTCACAGAGTGTGGAATTAAGTAGATCTTCTGATCACAAATTAGATGTTTGCAATTGGACGCAATTAATGCATATACTCATGCTTCTGGAATCTCTGGATCATATGTTTAATCAGATCCTATTGTATTCTATGGGAAATTTAAGCAAAGATTCTGGAATGTGGACCATTATAGTTTTCTCAAACCAGTGATAGTTCTAGTGTGTTTACCCTCTCCCTTTTTGACAACTTCATCCAATGTGCCTTCTCATGCATTGTTGAAAAGAATTTGATTTATCTGTTTTATAACGAGGACCATTTGATTTAAATCTAGAGTTGAAATTATGTTGTGCATACTGATATATGGAGATTCTAGAGATAATGCCATCAGTTCTTAGGTCCAGCGATTACTTATCATCGTCATGTGATTCTTTTTCTTTCCACTGTGCGTTTTTCTGTTGGCTGTGCAACTTTTCGTAAACCAAAATGGGTATCTATCTACCTGTTTGCGTTATCTGCAATATAATTGACGTTCCCTCCTTTTCTTTTAGAGAATGGTCGTTTCATTATCCTCAGATAGTGCTGTTTGGAATGCTGTATTGAACAATGAGGTGGTAAAAGAGCTCAGGGAGTCATATCATGCAGGTTTGTTTGAAATTTCATGGTTATGGTTTATGGGATTGGTCTTCTCTGTGCATTGAATCCTAATGCCTAACACCATCCTGTTGATGTCAGGAAGGAGAATATATTCTCCATTGCAATATTACTAGGTACATAATATAAGGAGAAATAGAATGGAATCAATGTTCGGAGCGGAAAACTTGGCAGTTTGCTTCTTCTTTTTTTTAATCTTAAATAGAATTCTGCTCTTGTTGGGACAATATCAGTTCCAATCATCTAGGCCTGAAAACATCTGAAGGGGAGACCAGGGAGTATTCTGATTGAACAGGACCCTCCACATTTGAAAAGTTTTACAGCAGATGCCCTCATGACATTTTTTCCAGCTTGTAGGGTGTCATTGCCATGTAACTTAGATCGTAGGAATTAGATTGCTTAATTTTGTGCTTATGAAGGCTTGAGTTTTTATTTTGACCACGGATGTAAAGTTGTGTAGTTTTGAAGGAATTTTATGGTATATGCAGCTGAAAGTGATGGCCATCCAGAGGAAAGTCCGAAAGAGAGTCTGGAAGGAAGTCCAGATAATTCTAACCCTATCTTCAATGCGGTGAGATGGTTGTTTGACAGTACAAGGGTAAAGCTCATGGGAATGATGGAGAGTATGGCAAACCTACGTGGAAAAATCTTCAAGCTGCCTGCTGGTAACCCAGAGAGAAAAGATCTCTTCGGAGAAAAGCTGAGAACATCATTTCTCCTCTCAATCGTGGTCCTGGTCGTTGTGGTCGTCGCTCGAGCCCGCAGAGGCTGATCAATCATTTGCCGACATGACTCTGTATGAAAGTAATGACTACTTCCCGTATGGTGAGATGTTTGTGGAGTTTATGTTCACTCGAGAAACTACCATGGTTCTGTACAGTTGGACTATATCCCTGCATGCTTTTACTTGTAAAGCAGTGATGCGAGGTTTCTTTTACATTTTCTCTAAACTTGCCTTGGGAATTAGGTGATTTGCTTTTCATGCTTAATGGTTGACAGACTTTAAAACCATTGCACAAATTGCTCGATCACTTACAGGCTACATACGTCCTTTTACTTGGGTCCTTTTCGTTTCAGTCATAGACAAGTCGCAAGAATTTGCACAAAGCAGTCTATAGATGGTCAAAGATCAAAGTTAGCAGAGCACGTTGGAGCTATTCTCCTTACAGATTAATTCATAGGTAAGTACTGTTGATGCAAAAAATTTTGATGTTGCTAGCTTTTCCTTTACATGAAAAATGCTCAGAAGTTCCTACGAGGAATAATACTTCCCAACTGCAACTAACCCTTTACAAGCCAAAGAACCTAAGAATCCTACTTGGAAGATTGAGCAAGGTTGTATATGCTGCGACCCGGCAAGATATTGACAATTTCACTCGCTCCCACTTCGTGTAGTTGTGTAGTCATATCATCTGGCATCTGTGTTGTCGGTACAATTTAACAAAGAGTCGATATCAGGAGTTATGATAGCCCGTTTTCCAAGTTCCCCTAGAGAGCAAAAATGTTTATCGGCAGTGTTGATTGCAGCAACATCCTGAGCAAATATACAATCTGATCCAGGTGAAACCTGCACAAAGAAAATTTATATAAAAAAAGGGAACATTCTTATGCAGCAACACCCAAAAAGTGACAAATCCAAGCAGATGGATTATATTCACTACCACAAACTGCACAATTTCCTAATGTTCAGCTTCACACGGTTTCATAAGAGGTGACTAATTATTAAAGTTAAATGAAGGCACTTCAAATAACAAGTTTTCGGAGGCAGATGGAAGGCGACGTTTTGATAAGCGACTTGTCCTTCGTGCCACTGAGAATGGGCAATGCCTACTGCACACTATTCACAGACATGGTTTGAGACAACTAATTCAAGCCAAGCGAGTGTTTATGACTCACATCGTATAGCGTTTCTCCTAGCTTCAGCTTGACAGCTCCGCTTTTGTAAACCACCAGTTTGCCCATATATCCCCCTGATAGATCTTCCAAACGGCAGCCTCTCTCTGAAGTATTTGCACCCGATGATGCTGAGCTCTCAGCTTTCTCTTTGCCTTTTACACTTGTTGGTCTCTTGACCGACGGCAAATTAGGAGGAAGCTGAAAGAACATCATTTTCCCACTCCCAAACCCCTCCTGCCATTAATCAATTAAATTTAATGATTAACAAAATGAACTTTGTATCAAAGGCATTCAGTTGGTCGTGGTCGTTCAATAGCCGGAATACCAACCAGAAGACCAAGATCTGAAGCAGCATTGACGATGCCCTCATCATACTCAAAGTTTCTAGTAGCCTCTCCAAATTCCTTCTCATCTAGAATTTCTGCATCAGAAACAAGCTACAGACATTCAATTAAAGGAAACAAGCGCATACCAAAGTGTGTGCTCCCAGTTCTAATTGTAGTACAGATAAGGTGACAAACGTCAGGTTCTTATTTGTCTGTCATTGCAGCCAGCCAAAAAGCGATAGCTCTGTCATGAATTACCAAGCTGTGCACTCATACTAAACCACACAAAAGAACCTTGCCATAACACACATAAAACCAACTGTATAATACAAGTGAAGACTGAAGTGACCTATATTCCTTTTTTGGCCATCACCGATGATATGCGTGACAATCAGAATTATTAGATAATACATCCATGGAGAGGCATGTTCTTGGTATTTACTGCCACAGTCTGCCTTGCATCTAGAAGCATACCTGGGTTTCCTGAGTAAGGCCTTCTCAAAGGTAGTGTCGTTGGATAGTATGAATGGTGGAAATCCTGCCACACATCAAGTAAAACCATAATCTCAGCACATAGTGCATGGTTGAAAGTGAATGCATTTTTTCGGAGTGACACTTTATGTTACACATCATGCTTGATTTCAAATATTCATGCAGCAACATGACAAATTGAAAGGTCTCAAAAGGGATAAAAAATAGTTTGCGTACCCATGGTTCTTTGTATTCTTTCTTCATCTTCTGACGAACTTCAGCACTAGCATCTTCCATAGTTGCATCAGTTGCATCAGTCTTGGCAACTATAGGCGGAGAGATAGCTCGTCCCTTGGCAGCAGCATAACTTTTCAGCCTAGGACCACTGCTTTGATCACTTCTCTCTTCCTTGGGAACACCATAGCTCCTTATGGCTGAGGCAGATGATGGAGCTCCTGGTCCGAACGCCACTTGCGCTGACGCTGTAAATTTCAAATTCCTAGATGAGTGTAAATCTCCGGTATAATGCTTTTAGTTCAAATAGATGAAGTTCGGAATATTAGAACTACAATGCGCATCTCCAAAGAGTAGAATGACCTAATGAATATGGTTAGTTACTTCATCAGATGACGAGCTACATGAACTACTTGCTATTTAAAAGGAAATAACAGTGAGCAGTGAATTCATCACAAGCCAGAACATGATTCATCATGGTGCAGGTGCAGCAGTTGTGCAATTACTATTATCCTAGCATCTATCCTATACACACTTGGTTCAAAGGAGCAACTCCTAATATGTAAAAATGGATAAACATAAACAGAGCATATGGCTTGCATGATAACAGGTCAGCATGAATTTGTGACTCCGGCTATCACTTGTACTAGTTTCTACTATGAGAACCATACAAAATGAGGAAAGAAAGCCATCGACGAGACAATGCTCAATCTGAGAGCCGACACACAAATCAACGCGACACAACTATTCGTTAGCAGCAGATTTGCCACAAAGAAGAAGGTAAAAAACAATGGTGATATTATGCAGAACATAAGAATAAGGATTACATTTATTTTCAACTCTGGCTCCTTGTCGCCCAAAATTCTCCTGTAAACACATATGAGAGAGCAATTAGAAAGTTTCCCCCTCAAGTGCTAATTCCCTAAGAATCAAATCATAACATATGCACATTTTCTGGTTGGAAAGGCATTTCTCACTTTGATCTGAGAAATAACAGCATATCATCGCCAAGGACATGTGACTACCCTCAGGCTAAAGCAATTCTGAGTGAGACAACTTATTCAGAGAACAGAAACTGACTTAAATTTTCCCATAGATGGAAAAGGCAAGCAACATTTGTCAGAACAGAGGGTTCCTGATCTTCTAACTCATTCAACATTTAAAGGCAATCTCAAATCTAACGACAGGTGAGTACTGGTTAGAAATGTGTTCTAGCTTCAGGCCGGCAGCCATTAACAAACTCCGACAAGTAAGTTCCCAAAATACCCAATACCAATTGGAGTTGCATAATCTTATTTCTAACGCCGTAGGCGAAACAACAAACGAGTGCATGGCCATCTAGCTAGACGCGGCTTGATTGTTACTGTTATATTACAAATCGAACAGCTACTTTAGTCCACACATCAACTCTTGAGAAGGTAAAACAAACATTCATAGCAGATAATTAAGTTATAAACACATATGCAAATCAGTTTGGCAGGTTGGCTAGCGGTCAGCAGCCAATCATAGGGTGGGTTATGGCCCAAGGCAAGCTGTAGTGGGCTTGGTCTCAACTCTCCATCCATGTCTGTCGTTTTTCAAAGGTTATAATTTTTTGGTTTTGCAGAAAATAATATCTTAACCCCATTTCCCTCTTGGAGAAAAAAATGCATCTTTACTCCAAACCACACAATATTCAATCAATGGCGGAGCAAAAACAATCTCTAGATGGAATTATATTTAAACATCCATCCATCGCCATCATCGCTCGGCCAAAACAAGTATAAAGAAAGAAAGAAAAAAATACCCTTTTTAAAACAAAGACGAATAAAGAAAAAGAGAAGGGAGTTTCGTTACGTTGAAACGGCGTAGCAGCATCTGGGCCTCCGCCTGTGCCGCAGCTTCCCCGTCTCCATCTTCCCCGTTCACCTCTCTGCCATTCCCAAGAACCCAAAACCCAGAATTCAGAATTCTTCATCAGCTCTCTTGTTAAACACAACACATTCCAAGACGAAGACGGATTTCACAGCACGCAGTAAGCAAGAAGAGAGACCCAAAAGTGGAAATGCGAAAGAAAACATGGGGGTAAGGCGACAGAGCAACGTACGTTTTGGGCGAGACGGCCTGGGGCTTCTTGCGAGGTGCGGGAGCTTTCGGCGCGAATTTCACCTGCGCGCCGAGAAACCAAAGAAGATGAGCGGGAGCGAAATCGCGGAGAGACGAGCCTAGGATCGAGGACGAAGAATTCCACCAAGGACACTCGAGCTTGGGGGAGAAGTGTACCTTTCTGCTCTTGTTCTGGTCCATGCAAACAGAAATGTCCGGCGCAACTCTCGCCGGAGGAGGAGGAGGAGGAAGAAGAAGAATTCCGGTGAAAAACTAATCGGAGAGAGTAAAACGAGAAGGGCAGGATTCGATCTTGCGATGCCTCGCCGCTGTTGAACTGAAGAAACCACTGAGCCAAACGCCCGATTTTATGTCGTTGCCCTAAGATTTTATAATATAAAGGATAAAGCCCCATACATAGAATTGACTAAATATAAATATAACATTTTTTGTTAACTGAGACCAATTATTTTGAATGACACAAGAAATTATTTTTGAGAAAATATTTTTCAAATCGTTCAATTTTCGCGAATCAAATGGATCCTTAAATAAGCCAAGTCCATGTACGCTCCTCATATATGCATTTGATTAATGATCGTCAACTTTAGTAATTCCAACCGAATTTCTTCCCTCCTTTTTTTATAATAGATACATTTTGACAAAACAGAGAAAAAAAAATGACATCTCGCGACAATCAAACGATGTATGCAAAAGTGGTCATGTGTCCATCATGTTAGTATTTTGTCGGAATATCAACCAGGTTCTAATCGAAGTCCATGAGTTATAAAAAGAAAAAGGATAGAGGAATGATTATTCAGTGCATTGAGTGAATGAAATCAGAATTCATTAAGCTGCTTATTTTCGGGGAAATCTTATACAAGACACAAGATTAATCATTTGGTATTATACTTGGAGTTGGGGGAATATTGTCCAAAAAGTCATAAACCTATTGTAAGGATGTCAATTCAATTCTAAACATTTTAATTATGCTAATTTAATCCTAAACCTTTTGACAATTTGCCAATTTAGTCCTTAACTTTTCAATCATGCCAATTTAGTCCTAAATTTTTTTAAGATTTGCTAATTTAATCCTAAACATATTATTTGGATATTTGGCCAAAAGGACTTGGCGAATCTTCAAAAGATTTGGCATTAAATTGACACAATTGAAAAGTTTATGACTACATTGGTAAATCATTAAAAAATTTAGATTAAACCGATACAATTAAGAGGTTTAGGATTGAGTTGGCCTCCATATAATAGGTTTAGCTCTTTTTAAGCAATTATCCCTTGGAGTTGCATGTGCTCATTGTCTGAATCAAGATCAAACGAATTCTGCAATTTTTCATTCGTTGATTAGCTCCGGCGACACACACCCAGCTCCATTATGATCCGCCACAGGCAATCGGAGAAAATCTTTTACGGTAGGGGACCAAATTTGAAGGAGCTTCATATGATAACGAAAGGAAGGCTAGCAGCATTCTGTCGTCGAAAAATTGGTGAACCCAACGGAATCAAAGCTTTACGGGAAATCTCGTCGACCTAATTTGCTTGTATCTGGCTTATCACGTTAGAGATGCATATGCACATTCGCTCACTTCAAGCCTCAATTAAAACTAAAAAATACCAGTAAAAATGGGACTAAGCCTGGCAGATTTACTTTCTACTTTCACGCAATTTGACAAGCTTTGATTTCGATGGATTGTCCCGAGGATAAACAAACAAGCACCACCACATTTGGCCCATTTGGTTCAACTTTCCAAATGCTACTAGGGAGAATGCAAATACCTTTATGTTAAAACCCCTTTGAGAATGTAAATGATGTTTGGTAAAAAATCCTTTGTAAAGATATTTTGGCCTAAGTATTATTTGGTAAAATTTTTTTTACAAAAGGGCTTTGGAAATTATCTTTTTTATTAAAAAAAAAAACCTACCATATCCTTCACCGAAGCCGACAATGGCCTACAACCGCCGACAAGCTAGATCTGGCGTCGACGGCAGTCACCTGAGGTCGGGCGATCCCCGGCGAGCCATATCTGCCGCCATCACCCGAGCGACCCTCGGCGAGGGTCACGCGACCCAGGCGTCGGCCGCCTGAGGTTGAGCGACCCAGGCGACGGCGGCCTGTGGTCGCGCAACCCAGGCGGCAGATGGCCTTGCGCGACCTAAGCCAGCAGCGCCTGGGCGGTCGCGTGACCTCAGGCGGCCGTCGCCTGGGTCGTGTGACCTCACCGGCCTCTCGTCGGCTCGATCTGGCGTCGGCCGCCCTCGCCGGCCTCCCTCAACAGCCGCCTCACGAAGAAAATAAACAGTAACAAGAGGGGCAAAATCGGAACAAGCCAAAATAAGTAATGGTAATTTGAGAACAAAAAATTTGGACTTCCAAATGCTGAACCAAACGGTTCAGCATTTTCCCAAGGGGCTTTCAAGGTCAAAAGCCCCTTCCAAATGCTGAACCAAATGGGGCCATTGTCGCGCAAGGCATTCCCCTGTAATTTTTTTATAGAATTTTAACATCCCAAAAAGGATAATTCAAGCAATTTCGGATCTCCAATTTCTCAGCACAACGTATGCGATGCACCGCCTGAGATCCATCGACACCTGCATTGGGTAAATCATCTAAGGTCATATGTTGAATAAGTTGAGAAGATGCAAGGTACCACACCATAATTTGCTCATTTGTCGCTTCAAATAGAAAATGAATGTCGGGATGCAGAGCCCCAACCCTCCTCAATAACCGTCGAATGGGCCCGTTGATCGTAAAACCTTAGTTTTTTGCTATTATGACACTGTATATGAGTTTTGGAAAATTGCAAGAAGTTGCGATACGTTGTGACCCAAGTGTCCATTCCTCGGAGGACCATTAAATTGCCCACCGCACGCCCAGAAAAATCCATTGCTCCAAACACCAGGGTCAGCCTTGAAGCAAACATCCCTAGAACAGAGCATGCTACACGACCAGCGTTAGGCTTGACGCAATCAAGGTCGATTTACTGTTCAAGCACTCAACAATTGTATAGACACTGTGCATCTGGTCAACCATCCATCCATCAGTTGGATCCCACTAGATCCGACTATGACCAGAAGCGGCCAACTTCTCAAAGTAGCGTGTACAATTCTTAGGCTGAACAAGTTAAGAGCAAAATCTTAGCAAGTCAACTGACAAATAGTCTGCGAACGGGTAAATCCATTGGCATCACAACGAGCAACGGACAAGATAAAGAGCACCCATATGCGGCAGAGCCTCAGACTCCTTCGACGAGGGCCACGGATACTGTATCAGAGCAAACAACTCACAAGCCCATTTTATGTCAATACGATAGTAGACATACAATTTGGACAATAAAACCTGCAAGAGATGAGTCGGAGATCAGGATTAGGACTAGCATATCTCCTGCTGAAGGATATGATTTCTCCTTAAGGAGAAGGAGAAATCCTGAGATTGATCTGCGGGAATCCTGGATCTGTGATATCTACAAAGGAACTATTCATCCAACAAATGAAGATTACGGTGACCTTGTTAAGTCAGTTAAAACTCAACTAATACCAAACCATCACTGCCATCTACACTGCCTATTCAAAGACCCTATGCTCAACCCATCGATAACCAACCACCTGGCAATCCATTGTAATCTACATAAAATTGAGATGTCAGATTAAGAGACATCATAAAGTAAAGCTATTAAAATTCACAGAAGATGAAGAGCATCCGCACAATTCGGAACAGGCTCATCAGAATTATCTTAAGACCCAAGCACCAAAATTAACTGTGTAAAGCATAAAAGTATCTCCAGAACTGACTCTACCAACATGCCACATGTAACAATAACAAACACCCACGAGCAGCAAAACTAGCACCTGAATAATAAACTAAAGAGCGAGACCACGCTATAAATGCAGGGCACCAGAAGAAACTTTCCACTTAATACTAGTTGTGGATCAAGGGAAGTCATAACAATGCGAGCCCACAGTTATATCCATTCTGGATGTCTACAAACATGTGTCAACTAAAAGCCAAGTCGTCTAATTCACATTCTTGAAAAAAAATATAAACACGAGGAGTGCCATAAGGTATCTGCACCACTACTTCGTTCCAGTATCACACTCCATGTTAAAAAAAAAAAAATACTCCCTATGTACATGATAATGATGTTTTTAGTTTCTCTCACAACTAGTTTTCATGTGCAATTGGTTTCATTTCTTGTACAACATTGTAAGGTAATAAAGTCATAACATTATTTGCACGAAAAAATAAACAAACGATATTATTTTCTTTTTGAATCTTTATTAGGTCCATTAACATAACTCATTCACCATTGAATGGTTGACACATAGAAGAATTCGGTTTAAAAAAACTAACTACAAACACACATGTCAATCACTCAACAAAAGTATACGGTTTATTTACACATGGTAAACTGAATAATAACCCATTTGTTATTTTCTACTATACAGATTCTCTTCACAAAAGAAAAGATTAGATAAAGATTTTGCTATTTTTTCAATAGCTGAAAACAAAAATTTATTTAAATTAAAAAATGAGAAAAACAATCAAAATTCCTCACATAAAGTGCAAGGATTGATTGCACTATAGGGACAATTAAGTAATTTTACCAACTGCACTTTCTCAATTTCCTTCACTTAAATTTCCTTTTTTTCCTCTTTGATTTACAAATAGAAAAATAAGTTCATAAGGGCATTAACGGTCAACGCCAAAGTGAGACAAATGGGGGTTTTGGCTTAAACAGAAAGGTTTTATTCTGGAACGTGTTGAAACATCAACAAGAGATAATTACCTCCACCCAGAAAAAACAAAACCTTGTCCAAGAAAGTCAGTTTATTAGGGTAAGACATTTTCGTACTTCCAAAAGTATATCGAAACAACAAATGGCTCAAAATTTTCTATAATAACAAACAACTGCAAGGCAAATTGCTTAAGTTCCCCTTCTTATTCTTAGTCTTTCCTTCATTGAGCTCTTCAACAAAAACAAACGATGATTCCCACATGCTTGAATAGCATTAACCAGACCACCAGCTGTATAAATCATCCTTTCCATTTGATCTATCCCAGAACCTTATACGGGTAAAGCCAAGATGTGAGGTTTTTCTGGATCTTGATGACATACTTTTTGGAAAGTGTTTTGTATCTTGTGCAGGTTAAATACGTCAATTATTTTCCTCGACTTAAAGAACTATGTTTTCCATCTATTTAGATTAGGCCAGTACTTAAATTTTCATCCTTATACTATGCACTTCTTCACTTTAGTTCCCCACCAAATGTTTTGCCATCCGATCAGTCCATTTTATTACAATTCTGGCACCAGATTAAGGACCAAAATGAAGGCAGCCACTAAGTATGGGGAATTCAGTAGAAAAATTGGTGAAAGACAAACATGAAAAAGTGGTAGGACAAGAATGGAAATGACAACTTATCTAAGAGTCGAAAGGTGTACTATTCCCTAATATGTGCGAAGAATCAATTTTCTAAGTAACGATGTTCATTATCTACAAAGACATAAACATGTGCCTGACACCTCAATTCCTCCAAGTTAAAAAGATCAGGAATAAATGCTATTATAGGCTATGTAAAGGATGCAAGACATCAGCAACTAAGATGTGAAAAGAGAATATACCTTCGACTTCTACGGAGAATGACCATCTCGAAAGATGTGAAAAGGGCACACATCAATGTCTTCAAAGGCAAGGTCACGAGATAAGATATGGTCACCGCAGAATAGGCATCTTTCCTAATGCAGAAACAGGCTAAACTAGGCAAACAAGTCATACAAAAGCAGTTCACAAATCCAAAGACAGTTTAATAAGCAAGATCCCATCAACTGGATATGTCTAAATTTTGACAAACTCATAAATCAAAAGTATCAACAAGCCAAAAGATTAAGTCCTGAGGATGTTCAGTTACTAAAAGAAACAAATATGGCCTTTACATCTGCGTAGATCGAATTTCCTGTCCAGTTTCTGCAATGTCATAACAGCACAGCAAGGTTAATGATGTGAGTCCCAAACTTCCAATAATCGCAAGAGGTAAGAAATCAGGTTGACAAGAGCTCCAAGAAACATCACTCCTGTCAAATATTACAATAGTGACAAAAAAGGATGGTTAAGAAATGCAAGAATGAGTAGGAGAATTAACTAATTTCAGAAACACCCAACGTGAGGTCTTAAGACAATTCCAAGTATGTTACGGCAGACATCCATATCACTGGACGAAATCGCCTTCATTTTTCAAAAATAAAACAGATTAAAAATGATATGTGATCCACTTAGGAGGAATTAAATAGAAACTCTTGGCAGAAACAGTGCTGTAGTATCAAACAAACAAAATCAAAAGCAGCCACCACATCGTTCTCTTTTTCTCCCTCTTTTCAATCGAAATCATATCATCATTTCCCTATTAATGCCAGATAAGCACTATGAACAAAGCTGAAACACAGAGAAATGAACTGTAACATGAGTGGCCAAAATGTCTGCACAAAAACGACACGTAAATTTCTTTTTTGTCATAAAAATGGCACAAAAATTAAGTGGCATAAAAAGTGAATTTTTGCAAAATCCCTTCAGGCAAAAAGCTGTTAAATTTCTCTACAATGTAGAGTCATGATGAGAAAGATTGCCCAGCCCTAACATTATAACTACCATAAACAACATTAACACAGAATAAACAGCAATCCAGAGAAACATCACCCCATGAATTCTCTGAACCCAGCTTACTATTCCACACCACACCATTTATCATCTAGTTCCTATGCACAGCTAGTTTTGAAAGAATGCAAACTGCAAAAAGGTCTGTTCAAGTATTTAAGTTAGGCCAAAAAAGGCAACACAAGCGAACACTTCATCTGGAGGGAGAACATAGCTGCACACCCTTTCAAGACCATGCCCAACCTCCAAAGACATCGAACATTTATGCATATGTCAGAAAAACAGGTTAGCACAAGAAAATAAAGAACATAAACTCATAACTAGTATCTTCCAGGAAAAAGTGGTGATGCGCAGGGTACAGGTCTTACCCTGCTAGTCATATGAACCAAGATCTGTTTGCAAACTAAGAATGTGTAACAAAACACTACTGCAGTTCGTAAATCAAGGAACCTGAGCATTAAAGCATACCTTTCATTTGGGTAGAATCACAGAACAGGACCCACGTCATTTCATCTGTGCCATGAACTTCTCGTATTCTGCATCTCCACCATATGATGTCTGCTCTGAGGAAGATGCAGGTGGCTGTGGTGGAGGAGGATTTGATGCCCAAGGTGCATTTGCAATGCTCTGAGAAGGATCAGCATTCGGAGTGGGCGCAGGAGCTGGGGGAGGATAAGCACCATAATATGGTGCATAACCCATAGAAGATGCAGCATATATTGGCTGAGCACTAGCATGCATCATTGGGGCAGCTGTTCCGTAAGCACTAACAGAAGCAGAATGAGAAGAGCTAGTGTTTTCAGATTGAACTCCAGGTGGGTAGCTCGGTGGTGCTTCAGTAGGAGGAGCAGTCTGAGGCGGAGCACCTGGTGGAACTGGCTGTGCTGATGGTGGAGGGGGAGGATAAGACATGCCATAAGGAGGCATGGGTTGGCCTGGGATTGGAACAGGAGCCATATACGATGGAGGAGGATAACCATAAGGAGGTGGTGGTAGAGGTGGCCCCCACGGAACGGGAGCCGCCGTATAGCCTGCAGGAGGAACAGGTGGTAGAGGACCACCTGATGTGAATTGCTGCGAGGGGTATGCACCAACTGGTTGTGCCGGCATAGGGTATGTGGGCACCGTTGACGAAGGAGGGCCAGGAGGCACGGTAGGTTGGGGAGGCTTCCCTGCAACTCTGACAGCAATGGTTCGCCCATCAAGCCGATGACCGTTCATGGCTTGAATAGCAGCATTGGCCATCTGAACATCTGCATACTTAACAAAACCATATCCTTTACTCAGTCCAGTAACACGGTCCTTGATAACCTTAGCCATCACAATTTCCCCAAACTGCGAGAATAACTGAATCAAACCATCATCATCAAGCGTAGGTGGTAAGTATCCAATGTACAAATTCGTATCATCATACTCTTTAGAAAGCTTAACAGGGTTTGATCCTAAACCAGGGTGTGAACTTGTCCCAGTGCCACCAGTACTATTAGCCCAAGGAGGGTTGCTTCCAGCGTTGCCAGCAGTTCCAGCACTAATTGCCAAAGTACTGCTCTGCTTGGTGGCAGACTCAGGCATGGTGCCTCCAAGCTCAGCTAAGAAGTTCTGATACTCGTCATCCATTTTCTTGCCTGTAGTCCCCTTCACAGGACAATCAATAGTAGGGTGTCCTCCATCACCACAGATTTTGCAAAGCACATCGCTCTTAAATGTAGAAGTACGTGAAGGACACGCATATTGCCTATGTCCCGGTTCCCCGCATAACCTACAAAATTCCTCATCCCTTATGGTCCCATTTAACGCCGCAAGTTCTCTGAGCTGCTGCCTCTTGTGTTCATTTAGAACCTCATCAACAGGCTGCAACAGTTTCTCCACCATCCCTGCTGCTGCATCTAGTGCCTCCTGTGTCTCCGCTTCCACCAAAACATGCAAATCCTCATTCTCTGCTGGATCAGGCTTCAAATCCCTCTTTTGCTGCAACCTACCCTCCTTTACTGAACCTTTTCCGCGAATGACAATCTTTGCACCGGTTTCACGTTCCATCCTTTTCTGGGTATTGCCTCTAGGTCCTATGATGAGTCCAATAAAATTGTAACCAGGGTACTCTTTCATCGGAATGTACAACTTCTTTTGCAGCTTGGGAGGCCTATAATCAGCCGGGGGCTTAAACGCTGGATTCCGCTTAATAATCTGAGTTATAATGTCCTGTCTCTCCTTGTTCAGACGCTCACGAGCACGATACTCCCTCGTATTGATCCTAATACCCATATTATCATATATGGGTTCCGGAGAAGGGGAGCGAGCCCCCTCCGGCCTATCATCTAGCGGCAAACCCGACTGCAACATCCTGCTAATTTCCAAAAGCCTAGCATTAAGGGCTTGAATCTCAGGGTCAAACTCGATACCTCCAGTGAAGTCTTTCATGAAATCCGGAAGCTGAATCGCAGGCAGCTTCGGCTCATCGTCCGCCCAGCGCGACTTGCGCTTCCTCGTGCCGCTCCCAGAGTCATTACCCACCCCGCTGCCGCCGCCGCCGCCGCCGCCGCTCTGCTCGTTAGAATCGGAAGGCGGGTCCCAGCGGCTCCGACGGCGTCTCCGGCTGGTGGCCTCCTCCTCGCCTCCGGAGGCGTCCTTATCAGTCCCGCTGTGCGTGTTCGTCATCGCACCACCATCGGACAGAACAACCTTCGCGATCTCGGGCCTGAGGCCGGGATTCCAGCTCTCCGAGGCGGGGAAGTGGCCGTTACTGAGCGAACCGTTGGGGTTCTGGGCGCCCTGAGCTGGATTCCGATGGCCGCCCACCTGAATCGAGGAGCCGTAGTAGTAATCCAGCGACTGCGACTCCGGGGGCGGCGGGGGCGGGTAATCGGCGCGGGAGTCTAGGGTTCCCGGCGGAGGGAGCGGCGGCGGAGGAGGAGGGGGGTGCGCGGCGGCGTTCTCGTGCAGGGACTCCATGATCAACCGGAGGAGAGAGGCGCGATTACGACGCCGCTCGCCGCGCCCGGAAGCGGAAGTGGCGGAGGACGACGGAAGGAAGGAAGGAAGGAAGGAAGGAAGGAGGCGGAGGGAGGTTTTCGATTCGATTGATGGTGGAGACAACTGAATATGCGTGCAGAGTTCTGAATCTCGGTCTCATATACCGTCTATGTCGGACTCGGGTTCGGGTCACGCAGAGGCGGTTCGGGTGATTGAAATGGGCCTGGCCTGTTTAGGCCCGGTGCTAGTGTTTTGGGCCTAAAGCTAAAAAGCCCAAAGCAGTAATTTTGATTTTAGAAAAAAAAATTACTAACCAATCTAAATATTATGTATTATGTAGCTTGTACAAGTTCTCATACTCATAATAGTTGCTAATTAAATTTGATTTTAAGGGGAAAAGTAGTGTTTTTGAAGCTTCTTAACCCTAAGTATATTGGAATTCCGAAAAAGAAGATAGAGAGTGATCAATGGTGATTGATAAAATTTGACGGTGATAAATCTGGCGATTCGAGAACTGAATTTGGAGTTTAAAATATCTTGGGAAATGGTGAGATTATTACCTCTTGAAATTCTTTACTGTAATGCTCAAAAAGAGAGAGAGAGTCAGCTATTGATGGTGATTAATAGAATTTAGCCTCTTGAACTCTCATTGAAAAAGGTGCTTTCATGGATATGTCCTGGTTCATGGGCACTCATAGAATAATTTTATAGTCATTGACATATTTACTTCCATACTATCCATTAATCCTTCGCTATCATTTAAACCAAAAAATTTCTTCAGTTCACTTAAAATTTCCAAATAGATGAGAAATCACCATACTTCTTACTTTGGTTTTTCTTTAAAAAATTCTTACTATGGCATTAGATAAGTAGTAGAACATTAATTTCTTTTCGAATATTTTTGCATCAGCTTGAGTCGCAACAATAATACTATTAAAATCTCACATTTGTATAATAGGTGTACGAGAATATTAGGTAACAATGTTTAGGAAGAAACCCGTTTATTACAGATAAACTTTTGAATTTTGCCTCTATTTTTGTCCATATAATTTGGTGGATCTTATATCTCCGACCATCTTTTTTATTTCCAAGAAAGTACTAATAAAATAAAGATCAAAGAAAGATCCAATCTCTCCTTCGAGATTTTAAAGATGTTAAGGTAATTTCGATAATTAAAAAGATAAGAGAATTTTTTTTCTTTTCATGTCAAAGACAAGAAGTTGGTAATTACTTAAAAAAAATTAATGTTGTAATTAACTCAAACAAGAGACGATAACCACAAAACTAGATGATAACTTCATCGAAAAGAATTAATAAATACTTTGATTGCAGTTGATGATTTCTAAAGAATTGATAAGTATATCGGATTAAAAATAAACTTCTGAATTGTGGCTCTATTTTCATTTATGTATTTTTTGTGGATCTTATATCTTCAACCATTTTGTTTATTTCCAAGAAAATACTTTTCATAGATGTTGAGGTAATTCCACTAATTAAAAAGATAAGATAAGGTTTTCTATGCTAGAGAAGAGAAGTTGAAAAAAAAAAAATTAAAGCTAAACGTAAATTGTAATTAACTTAAATAAAGATGGGTAAATTCATATAAAAATTGATGAATTTAAAACGTTAGTAAAAAAGAGGTAAAGTATAACTAAAATCAATAATTTGCAAACGGCAAAAAACAGTAGTTTTCCATAAATTGTTGGCTAGTTACCAAATATCAGCTAACCCATAATGTTTCATATTAACATTTTTTTTAATCATTTATCAACATTTTTTGAAATCTACTTGTACGAAAAGATGTTTTTTTTAATAATTAAACGGGATATAGAATCGTTGATTCATTAACGTCGAGAAATAACCACTAGATCAAATAACACACCATCAAACTAATCATGTACCCGAGATAGCATAAAATATGAAGTTACATATGGAAATTAAGCGATTCATCGGACTAATTAGTGAAGATCCATCCCCTTAAACGAGCTTCGCGAAATAATTCTCTCTCAAACATCAAAATTCGAACTCGGTCATTGAACGAGTAGGTCGATGACGAAGAAGCGTTAATGAAGTAAAGCGAAAACAAATCGATATCGGAAAAAAGAAGGTAAACCAAAATTGCGATTGGCAGTTTTTCTTAATCATTCTCGAGCAAACAACCTTGGATTCCCCGTGACGAGAGCCCCGCCCTTGCTCCGCCGCGCTGAACGCGCATCGTCCTTCTCGCACCCGTTGATCACTGTCGTCAACTTGAAGGGCGGAACATCAGTGGCCAGCCACTGGTCAACATGGAAGGTGGTTTGGCCGCAGTGCTTATGAGGCCCGGCGGACGTGACCTCCACGTAATCGCAGTACCAACCGTGGTGGTCCCCGGACCCGTCGGAGGTGAGGTTGAGCCAGCACAGCGGCGGGCCGATGCAGGGCCCAAGCCCGCTGAAGACATCGAGGTTGCCGCGCTCATAGTAGTTGTGGGACGGTTCCATCAAGCCCCACGACTCCAAATCCGGGACCCAGACCGACCGCCCCGACAGGTCGCCCAGTATCAGGCTGATCCTGGAGTCGGTCCCGGCCTTGATCAACGAGCCCGTCTTCACGTAGATGGTGTACACGCAGTTATTCTGCACAGTGGAAATCATTATGCTAAAGAACATAGACAGCCTAACATGTACATGTATGAGAACATGACAATAGAGACGTGTGAGATCAAATGAGACGAAGAAAGAGGACACGAGTAAAAAGAAGGCTCGTGTCGAAACTCACAGGGGTCTCCCCTGCGGCCGCGGAGAGGAAGACAGAGCAGATTATGAGGAACAGGAGGCGCCGAATTGTCGTCATTCTTGTTGAGCTGCTGAACTGAACAGGTGACTCTACTTATATAGCCACTTCAATGCATGTAAATCCACACATAGGCAAGCGAATACACATACCTCCTGGTATATGACTATCTAATATAACCGTTCGTCGGGATGTTTTCATTTGCACTACGGAATCATACTTGGAACATTGAACTGGAACCGCGCCTTCCGTTTTGCGATGTTGACCGATTAAAACCTGTGCGGTTATGACGGTGCGCACAAGTGTCGAGTAAGCAGCTTTCTTCTCATAAAACATTTTCTCCTCTAATCACCACCTCACGATGGCAAGGGATTCAAACAATCAGTCTAAACTCATGCTCTCAATATGCAGCTCAACCAGACTCAGCTATTAGACCAAATAATAAATAAATAAAAAAAACAGTTTCGGCTCCGATATTCTAATCAATCAAGTTGAGCAAAACAGAGCGTTCTAATCGATCGCGCATGTTTTCATCAAACGGAAGTTTGCAAGGGGACTTCCCAGGGAAAAACAAGGATACTTTGTAGGGGTGCGCATCATGTATACGCACGACACTGTACAAGTACAGATGCCATTTTTCAGTATGAATGGGCACGAGTAATCGGCAATATACACTGACCAAGCCAGGCGTGATTAGTGGAGGCAGATACACGCGAGCCACAGCTTAACGATCAATCCCGACAGTTCATTATATAACGGATCTTTCCCTTCTTACCAATTTAAGCTTTGCTTGAAATGGAGACCGCCAACCAACCAGCTCACCACTCGAATTGGAGACCGCCAACCAACCAGCATTTTAGGGTTTTCCTCTAAGTACCAGCTCACCGGTATTTCAAGATCTCTCAACTTAACTCGTAAACTTCAGGCAAAATGACTCATGAAGACTCAAGCTGAAACAAACAAAGGAACTTGCCGTGCCCAGAGTAACATTTAAATATTTTCATTAAGTAAAATATACATATCCACAAATCAGCATTTGCTAACAAACGCGTTCATGACACCAAATTAATGCTTAGCTGTCCAGATAAATCATACTAGACCGATCAACAGAGACCCCTATTGACATGTACGGTTTGTTTTTCTTTCTGTAATCCCACGGAAATTCACAAATTCCCCGGGGGGGAAGGATTACTATGAACAGGAAGCTCCTGCTCTTCGTGTGGATTTTGCAGATTGGATCCTCAAAAACCTACAAACAAAACCATCAGAAATAGCAAGCGTAAGCTTCATATGGTGCATAAAAAGACTCACCGCCAAACAGATGCGGATGTAAAGAACATATTAAGGGAAAAAGAGCAGTGAGATCTTGACTATAGCTTTAGGTGCTTTGCAGCAGCATTCAACAAATCCATACATCCTAAAAAATAGAGACCATGAACAGATATTAATACAAAATGAAAGCATTGAAATCTCCAAGTTGACTAGGGACTAGTTTACTTCAACTTGACCTCAATTGCCACAATATTTGTCAGTCACCATACTATAAAGCAATAAGCATCCAGTGATAGAGTCAAAGAAGAGAAGTACCCAAAACGCAATGATTAAGTCGCAAAGAAAGTTCGTAAAGACTTCTCAATGACCATTAGAAAAAAAGGGAGATATATAAGGTGATTGAATTGTTCAAAAATTCAAAGGTGGTTTCAAAAGAAGCCTGTTAAAACTACCAGATCTGACATTGCCCTTCCATTATATAAGGAAATGTCAAAGCGTGCTCTAAGGCATTCAATAAGCTAAACGTGATTCCGTTTTGAAAATGCAACAACGGAGGTTTCACATGTTTCCATGTCTTATTTACATGAAAAAGAAAAATGCACTTTATACTCACTTCCAACTTTTTATAAATTATAGAATTGCCTATTCAATGAAAAGGATCTATCTAATCAGCATGTTCTTGAATATAAAGAAATGATATATAAATACTATTTGAGGATGCAAGCCAAAAGGACACTTAACCATCTCTAGGCAGATTCCATGATTGCAATATTAACCATGTGATCTACCTCAGATCAGCGGCTGGAACTGCCAAGGTCGAAGTCCATTGTGTAATCATATTCAATAGTTGGAATAACAGAGGCAACAAATTTAAGGAACAAGAAAAGGTACCTGCCAAGAAAACAACGTGAAAGTGTCAGAATCTAATAAGCTTAAAATACACAAGTATCAAATGCACGTAACACGGCAAAAGGCACGATCCCATATCACCAAGATCAGTTGTTGTAACATAAAGCAATAGGGAAAATGACGCAAACAATCCCTGAACTTTGGCTAAATGTTCAATTTGGTCCATGAACTTTTAATTTGTTCAATGTAGTCCCTGAATTTTAACCCAATGTGCAATGTGGTCCCTTAACTTTTAATTTGTTCAATGTGGTCCTTGGACTTTTGGTACATGTTCAATTTAGTTCCTGAACTATATGAAAATGTTCAATGTAGTCCTTCCATTAATTTAATTTTAGGGACTATATTGAACATTTTCATATAGCTCAGGGACTAAATTGAACATGTATCAAAAGTCCAGAGACCACATTGAACGAATTAAAAGTTCAGAGACCAAATTAAACATTTGGCCAAAATTCAGGAACTGTTTGTGTCATTATCCCAAAGTAATAGCAATGTACACCCGAAAAGAAACCAACACCAGTTGTGAAGCACCAATTCAATTTAAACCTACCAGACAGTTTCAGCCAAAAAGGAAAAAAGACCAACCTGATAGTTTTCCTACTAAGACTGCAGAACTTTCTCAAACGAGATTACAGAGAAATTTCAACCAAAAACAAGTATAAAGTGTGAGAGGAAATTACTTGTCAACTTCGGGTTCAACTCCACGTGACATTAATACGTCAATGATCTTCTTCATTACTGCGCCATGTCTACACGGATGTACTGAAGCATGTTTTCCAGGCAAATGAGGATGGTCTTCAATTGTTACCTATATTGGTAGATTACACATGGTCAAAAAGGACACAACACAATACAATGACAAATAAGTGCATGTCCAGTGGCTGATGGAAATGAACTGAGAAGGCCATTAACGAGAAAGTAAATTTGAAAAGGCCATTAACAAAAGTAAAATTTGCTTGATAAACTTCCAATGACAAAACCAACACAAGTCACTTGGCTTCTCTTGTAGATCTGAAACGATTCTAAAATACATTGCAGATTGTGCACATAGTATGAAACAATAAGCATTTACTACAAGAATGGCCAAAATTGACGATCACAACTAGATTTTCTCTACTCATCTGTGATGGACTAGATATTAACATCACATGATGGCGTTGCTATGTGATTAAGCTTGTCACAGATCAAGTATAGGATCTCTAGAAACCCAACAAGTTGTAATATAAAATAACAGTTAAGCAATGACAATATATTTCTTAAGCCAAAGGTAATGATGACTAATTCCAATATGACCTATCAAAAGCTTCATATGAATAGATAAAGGCAGCACAACCAAGCAACTTGATTGAGAAAGAATGCAGCAAGATCATTCATCCAGCCATTTGTTGGTATAAACAAGGAATAACACAGCCTCATAGAAAAAAAAATTGGCAATTAATTATCTTGGTAACATTTAATATAAATCTCACCGTTTTTCGTGCATGGTCTTGACTAACATCTTCAAGTACAAGCTCTGGTCGCAAAAGCATCCTTGACTGCCAAAGGCACACAAACAAGATTTTTCTTTAAGCTGATTGAAAAACAGCATGAAAAACTCAATGACATCTTCGGTGATTGCATCTCGTTTAACATAATTCTGCCTCAGAAATTATCAATAGATAGTGCTGCTAAAATTCATTCATCGAACTCCTGTGATTTTGAAGCTTATGATTGCATTTCTTTTTATTGAAGGAAAAAATTTACCACGTACAACAGAAACATCACCAAAAACAGAAAACTGTCAAATCATTATATTCCAACAGCTATATGATACGACACAGAATCATGCTAAAAGAATGAACCAGTGCGATGTGCATGGCAGATTAAGTTGCAAGACAAACCTCATCATATCCAGTAAGCCAAACCCGAGGAGTTTGATAATACTTATCATACCTACATAACACAGAGAAAAGAAAAAATAATGTGAGATCACGCCACGGTTACACAGCGCTTGATTATAACATTTACTTCATGTCCTAATCCAAGAAACTTCATCCTTCCAGTCAATATAAATTTAGCACCCTCACATTTTAGCATCTCAGCGACACATACATACAAGCAAAAGTAAGATGTGGTATTTCTTCTGACTTCATACGGTAAAAAAGCACACCCGAAAACTGCTATTCCGAGCTAGAGAACTGCTAATGTGCAGAAGATAGGTTTTCTACTTTACTCGCATCAAATATGGAGTTTCTATCATAGTCACAACTCACAAGACAATGCTGAAACCTAGAAATGGAACATGAAAGATGTGGAGAAGCACATCAAGCAAAAGAGATAGGTATAAATCGAGCAACCCAGACACTGAAACAGTTCTAAAAGCTGTTCTCCCACGAAGAGAAAATTGATATACCCCATAACTCCCTTGCACTCTCTCACCTAGATTCAACCTTCACAATTACTTGTTGATATTTGCATATGCTGCAAATAAGTACCCATGGTGAAAAACAAGTCCGAAAATATTTTTATAAGTGACTTTGTTCTGTTGTCTTCACAGTGAATTTGTGTTTGATCGCTATAAGTGAAATTAAAATACTCTCACTAGCACACAATTCAAATAGGTTATTGAGTAACTCTTACTTTCTAGAAAGTAAGAGACATTGTGAATCTCTTTGTTGCCAAAAGTATCGTCTAGAGAGCATTTAAAATTGCCAGGTATTCAACGCAATACATTTTCTCAATTAAAGAAAAGTGATGTTTCTTTCAAAAGAATTTTGAAAAAAGATTTCTCCAGTAACATGTTAGTGGCATAAAAATCATACTACTGCCTCATTGACCCTCCGTATGGTAAGTGCAACTATGGAAATAAAAAGCTTTATTAACATTAGTCTAAAAGATCCATACACCACTGTCATGGTCTGAGAACTCTAAAAGTGCATAACAAAAGACTAACTTCTAGAATTTTGAAACTTCAACTCGAACGATAGAATTATCTTACGTTATGCTGACATCGTAAGTTCGGGTCCGCAGTATGTTGTCGTCATCAGGTTCATGAGCCACCAGATAAGTAGACTGAAGTGTTGCCTGCATAACAAAAAACCAAAACTCACATAACGAACCGCTGAAAATCAATGGATGAATTGTTTTTCAACTCATGCATGTTAACTCAATGATAAGAATTCGACCGGCTTCTATAATTTAGATGCTAAATGTATAATTCCTACAATCATCTACTGATCCTAGAAACCACAAAACAGAGATCAACTTTTATCTCACTTATGCATCTTTAACATATCAGACCGGACTTTAAGATTACCAATTGCTAATCAACTTCGTTCAATAAGAGCGAGTCTTCCCTGTTGCAGTCCCTCTCAAACATCTACGAACAACTAACTTGTTCATTACCGCTCACATGCTCCGGATGCTCAACTTCCTATTTCTCTTTATCAACACAAACCCATACTTTCCTTTTCTGCTTCAGCCAGATTCAAGGAAGAAAGGGGGGAAGCCTGTCCACTACTAAAACATATACCTACCCAACCTTGACCAAAACTAAAGAAATAAACAAAAACGGAATTCAATACATCGTTTAAGGTAAAATCAGAATAATTAAAATAAATACCGGTGATCCTTCTTGTCCTGCAATTTTAGCCTATAACTTCACATTCTCCTAAATTATCATCTAGAGCAAGAAATGGGAAAGCTCAAGCTTTTTTATGGGACCAGATACAGTACTGAAGTCTGAGAAGCATCAAAAAACCAAAACGAATCTATTTTGAGACTCCTGCAGCCAATTATTAATGCACTTAACATGAAAAAAATTTAAGAGATCAACAAAAGCAAATATAACCAACAGGATCCGTCTCGATGAGGTTGTCGGGTTCCTCGTACTCTGCCATGTCCGGAATGTCTTCTTCCTCCTCTCCCCCAAAATACGAAGGGATGGACTGAATAGGATTTTTCTTGCCGATCTCTAAGCTGTCCATAGAAGGCAAATTATCCTCCTCGTCCCCCTTAGTTTCTGGTTCGAGATACAAAAAACACACAAAATGAGGCGACAAGAAAAGCAAGAGCCATCATTCAACCTAAACTTAGTCATCCACCTCTCGGCTTTCCATGAGTGGCTAGCCAACCGTCATTATCTTCGTTATCAAGCAAAACTTCCCCTCCTGCAGCCTCATATTCTTCCTCCACGGAAGCAGCTCTCCGCAAACACGGAACTGAAACCAGTTCATCAGCAACAAGACGAGGCTCAATACTAAAAAGGAAAGCTACGATCTTGCCGTTCGAACGGAAAGAGCGAGCAAAGAACTGATACAAAAATTACCATTTCTAGTTATCAGGAACTGCTTCTCTGCTGGCAGATACGGCTTCTTCTTGCTCGGCTCGCCCGATTCCCTGCCCAAAAGAATCGCCGGCGAACATCTCGCAATCGTGACGTCGGGGAAGAATCCGACGAAAAAAGAGGGGGGGTGGGGGAAGGGGGGCGGATTTTACCAGGACCAAGTGGGGCACTTGGAGACGAGGTTGTCGCCGGCGACGATGAACTCGGAGACGCTGAGGACGCCCTTCTCCTTGAAGGCGGAGACGGTGCGGTGGCTGGTGATCCGCTCCACCGTGCCCTTGAAAGCCTCGTGGAGCTTCTGCGAGAGGACCATCTCGCCGGGGTTTCGTGGAAGGGATCGGGAGGCGAGGTTTTGGGGGGGCCGATCGAGAAGCGAAGACGACCAGAAGAAACCCTAGAAAGTTTGGTGATGGAAACGTCGCGAGAGAGATAGAGAGAGGAGGAGGAAGGAGGCGGTGGCGTTGGGATTTTCTCACGAAGATTAACGGTCTCGCCTCCCGGGAAATTCTAGTTTACCTTACATAATTACGTTAGTTAATTAAATTTAACCTCGCGGGAGAAATATCAAAGTGACCCCCATATTTCGGGATCTTTATCAAAATGGCCCTGAAGATATCTCTTCATCTCTTCTTTCTTTCTCTCTCTTTTTTTTCTGTCAATTTGCCTCTCAAATAGTTTTAAAGTAGCGAAAATGACGCAAATAGTTCATAGACTTTGACAATGCAATCCCCAAATTTTTAATTTGTTCAATGCGATTCCTGAACTTTAACCCGATGTACAATATTGTCCATGAATTTTTAATTTGTTTAATGTGGTTCATGAACTTTTGTTACGTGTTCGATTTAGTCTATAGACTATATAAAAATATTCAATGTTATCCTTCAATTAATTCAAATTCAGGGATATAATCCAGGGACTAGATTGAATATGTGTCAAAAGTTATTAAAAGTTTAGAGATGACATTACACATTAGGTTAAAGTTCAGGGATCATATTAAACAAATTAAAAGTTCAGGGACTACACTATACATTAAGCTAAAGTTTAGCAACTATTTGTGTAATTATCCCTTTAAAGTATGTCAATTCATCTCGATTTGTTATCTTTTGACGATAGAAATAAAAAGCCAAGATACGAGGTGCCTCGCACACTTTGGAACTTGATAAAAAAAGGTCCACAATCAATGCAACGATTCATCCCAAATTATCACCATATCTTTATATGCCAATTGGTGTTGAGATATTTGTTTATTGGTTGATTCCTATTTATTGTCACGCGTTTAAAATGATCACAAATTGAATAAGTAACCTCGATTATTAGATAGGCTTTAATAAAGTTCAAATCCAAATGGACACGATATGTATCTTGAAGGGTCATTTTGGAAACTAAGTTCCAAATAACAAGGGCATCTTAAATCGTTTTATTCACTCCTTTAAAATACAACTTTCCGTTAGCATTGGTAGCTCTACACATCAACGCTAAGTCTTTTTATTTAGATGAATTGGGCTGACATGTACCTCATGAACTAATAAATACTCTAACAAAAATGGCAAGTGACCAATAAACTTTAAAATATAAAAAAATAAAGAAATTGAACCAAATTGGTGCAATTGGTTAGATTATTGAGGATTTCTAGTTTGGATACTGGAGGTCAACTATTCAAATCTCAATAATTGCATATAAACTGCTTTGGGTCGATATTTGATTAAACATGCTCGGCAGATTGGCATGGTCATCCATAGGCTTTCAGGTGGTCGGGATTTCATGCTCGTGTCTCTTGATGATTAATAAAATCAAGAAAATCTGTCTCTTGAATAATTGAGTCTTGAACTCGAATGGCCGTGATGATCACGAACTCACTTTGTACCAAAAGTAGCCTTTACCATAACCCTTCAGTCCTTCATATTGTGGAGCATACTCGGAGGAAGATTTCTCAAATATCTACTAAAAAATCTACAGACTCGTGCTTATTATCAAATTTTAAGATAAAAATATATATTTTCTATTCGACAAGGAAAACCGTAATTTTAAATTCTCCAGTTAATTGTCACGAGATCACGTAGATTTTTCACTAACTAATTTGGAATTCGACTATTTCTCATCTCGCAACAATGTCCACAAATTCTCTAAATTAATTGAATTTCATAAATATCTTAATTTGTTCATTTATTTAGTTATTTTTTTCTCACCTTTTCCACCCAAAATGTGGATGTGGTCTTTTCCTAGTTTAGTTAAACAACAGAAGCGTAAATTTGTGATTACTTTTAGCTATGTTTCAATGACGGGCCACAATTTTCCCATATCGAAAATTTCGTCATTTATTTTAGGGAAAATGAGACAAACAGTCAATGAACTTTGGTCTAATATACAATGGGGTCCATGACTTTTAATTCGTTCAATGTGATCCCCGAACTTTAGCTCAATAAGTAATGTGATCCCCAAAATTTTAATTTGTTCGATGTCGTTCCTGAACTTTTGGTATATGTTCAATTTATTTTATAATGTAGTCCTTCAATTGATTTAAGTGTAGAGACTCAATGAACATTACATGTACCAAAAGTTTAAAGATCATATTGAATATTAAGTTAAAATTTGGAGACTATATTGAATAAATTAAAAATTCATAAATCATATTGTATATTGAGTTAAAATTTAACCTCTGTTTGCGTGATTAATCATTTGTTTTACCCATTTTTCTTTTTTTACTCAAACCAATAATAGCTTTGCAAGGGAAAAGTTTGGAAAGAAAAAACGACAAAAAAGTCAGTCGGCGCCGACGGACGTCACTCTCCGAAGTTAGCGGAGCTACTTGCTTTGCGTCTCTCCTCCGGCCACGCAACTTTCTTCTTGCGGGCCGACCACTCGGCGGCGGAGATTCCCACGAACCAACCCGAATCGAGCTTTCTGTCTCTTTTTCCTTAATTTCTGCAAACGATGCGGCTGCCCATAACAGCGTGTTAGCATCTGCAGCGTGGTCCGTCGCCGCCGCCTTCGTCTTCGCTTTTCAGCAGCCGGGTCGTCTTCTCGGTTTTGGTCATCGTAATTTGCAAGTTCCAGTTCCTGGGTCGGAGCCAAATCGCATTTTTCCCTCGCGCATTTCGATAAAACAGCGTCCTTTCATCTCAGAAGGGGAAATCACAAGCCCGGGAAAGCTTTTCGCTTTTGCCGGCAAGTACAGGGGAAAGAGCGCGCTGAGAAGATCGATGACCACCGAGTGTGCAGGGCGTTGGGACGGCTGGGTCAAAGAGGCACTCGCGAGGCTCGAGTCCCTCAAGATCGTTCGGTCTCTGAGGCCCATTAGCCTGTCGGTGCAGCGGCAGGAGCTCGGTGGCGATGCGAGTCGAGGGTCAGAGTCAGGGAGCGGTGGGAATGATGATGAGTATGAGGTGTTCGAGGAAATGAAACCGTGGGATCGAGCTTCTGTCGAGGTTGACGTTGCTGATTCCACGTTCCGCAGTTGGCTCCATGACATCCCTAGCTCTGGTAAACACCCCTTTTTCTTCTTTGACGATTCACCTACTTCCCATAATCGAATTTTGGACCTCGCTCATTTCTGGATGTGCTATCGGAAATGGAGCTCCCACTTCCATCAATGCAGAACTTTTCGTTGTGACATTCTGGATGTGTATGATGCATGCACGGTCTTATGTTGGTAGGATGAATAATAACATGAACTTGCTTGGTAATTTGGGGGGCCTGTATTCAAATTTTGTTGAGTATTTTCTTGATCCTCGAACTTCCAAATGGCCACCTTGATACTGTAACAGAAAGATTGCCTGCTTTTCAGTTGCAATTTTTTGCTTCCTTTGTTCTGATGTTTCGACATTATTGCATGTCCCGGCGCTGGCGGTTCTCAGGAGACGATGTTATGTGGGGAGATGGATTGGCTGATAGCACAGTAGCAGCAAACGACGGTCAATTCAAGAAGCTAATTTTATTCTCTAGTAATGACTACCTTGGGTTGAGTTCACATCCCACAATTGGAAAAGCTGCTGCCAAGGTCTGATTGATCTGTAAATCAACTATGGAGCTTGTTACCTGTGTCGGTGGTATTCTTTGTGTGTATGCTCTTTTGGAATCATGATGATCTTAACTTTATGTTAGGCAGCAAATGAGCATGGGATGGGTCCGAGAGGATCTGCTCTGATCTGTGGATATACCAATTATCATAGACGTCTGGAATCTTGCTTGGCAGAGTTAAAGAAGAAAGAGGTAATTGTTGGACTCACAGGATTCTCGGAAAGTCAATCCAGCACATGGGGAAGAAACAGATCCAAACTTTTTAATGCAATGTCTAGTAGATATCAAAGGCTCATGTCCTGCCTAGTTCAAGTTCTTAATTGACTGAAGTGATGGGATGGATTAGGTTGTTGATGCAATAATGTATATTATTTGGTCATCCTTGATTATGATCTTTCTCATGATATCTGCAAGTTTATTTCGTAATTTCTATTTGTGCAATTTATATTTACTATTCATTGATTGATGGTTGATCCTATGTTACACCCTGCTGAAGACTGATGTATGCTCATTTTGAATTCCTCCTCTAGGAGTGTCTTCTTTGTCCTACTGGGTTTGCTGCGAATATGGCCGTGATGGTGGCAATTGGAAGCATCAGCTTACTGCTTGCCGCAGGTGTACAACCTGAAAAGGATGAGAAGATTGCCATATTTTCTGATGCCTTGAATCATGCATCCATAATTGATGGAATCCGTCTTGCTGAAAGACAACGAAGTGTGGAAGTTTTCGTTTATGGCCACTGCGACATGTTTCACCTGAATAAATTGCTGTAGGTACTTGTTTCTCGTATTTAATTTTCCCTCATCTTTCTCACAGATCATGAATTGGCACTGGTTTTTTTGCTTAACAGATCTGCCTGCACGATGGAGAGGAAAGTTGTTGTGACTGATAGGTTAGGAACCATCCACCATTTCTTTTTAGCTGTTCTGTTTCTTTATTATAGTTGGAACATATTATGCATGTGAATAGCGTCATATGAGAAGCACCTTTTCGTTGGATGTCATTCATAATACAGTTGATTTGGCTTTGTCCTTGTTGGTGAACGGTGCATACCATTTTCTTGAAATATACTTATTCAATTTTCAATGTGCATCTTACTGTAAATAATTGTTTGCTTCTACATACATGATTTGGTCCACTATGTGATCCCTGTTTTCGTCCTCTACAGTTTGTTTAGCATGGATGGAGACTTTGCACCAATGGATGAGCTTGTGAGACTTAGGAGAAAGCATGATTTTCTCTTAGTCATTGATGATGTCAGTCCCTCATTCTGTAGATTATTTTGTAGTTTAAGTTGCAAAACTTGTGCTTTACATCCTGCTTTGCAATATGATGAATTTTTACAAAAAGAACGATGGAGATATATAATGTGGTTGACATTTTATGCTTGGAAAAGCAGCTTAAACCCGAAAGAAGATGCAAAAAGGGAAATTGAATAAGATCCTCCTATTGCCATTGACCAGCTTGTTCTGTGAAATTAGGGAGATCTTCATAGAACTTCTGTCGCTACTTTGAAGAAATACTTGCTTTCGATGATAACATGTTATACTTTCAATAAGAAGTTGCCAATTTGTTCAGGCTCATGGAACATTTGTTTGTGGAAAAAATGGTGGAGGAGTTGCTGAGGAGTTTGATTGTGAAAGAGATGTTGACATATGTGTCGGCACTCTGAGCAAAGCTGCAGGTTGCCATGGTGGATTTGTCGCATGCAGGTGACTTTGTGGATGATTTTGTTTTTTACCCCTTGTTGTTAGCGTCAATTGCTTTTGGTACCAAGACATGTAGATGATTATTCATTTCTCAACTTGCAATGGAGTTTTCTAAGGTCGTGTAGATTGCCTAGAAACAAGTGGATGGCCTCAGGAAGAATTTTATCATATTTTGCATTCCAATTAAAAGGACAATTTCCTTTTGTGGTATGTCTAGCGACTGTTTTGGTATCTTCTTGTTGATCTTAGCTTCTGGAAGAAAGGGGAAGCTCAAGTGCTGGTAGTAGTTTGAGATAGCTAGTGGTGTCTGTAGAACTTATTAAACAATCAGTGACTGGTTTTGTTGATGATCTTAATCTCCAAAGTGTGTGAACAAGAAAATCAGGCCACCTTGCAGTTTGCCCTGTTCCAATTTACCTTCATTCTTAGACCTTTGGTTGTAATATTAGTTATTACAACTTTATTCTGTTTATATTCTCGCTGTGTGTAGTCCTAATTACTTGTTGCTTTTCCTCATTTTTCTGACTAACAGCAAAAGGTGGAAGCAACTCATCCAGTCAAGGGGTCGCTCTTTCATATTTTCTACTGCTACCCCCGTCCCAGTTGCTGCTGCTGCACATGGTTATCTTCTGTCTCTTCTTTCTTAGACTAATTATCTTAACCAATCCTCCCTTCCCAATAGAAAAAGGATTTTCTTGTGAATTGGAGAGGATTGGTGCCATATTCATCAATTGCATTGCATTCATAAGAACAGGGTTTTGGGAAGCGACTGCCTCAGTATTATAAACTATTCTACTGCGGCTAAAGCTTAAGAGTAGCCATATCAAGATATAGTAAAAAAGAGTTCCTTGTGTCATTTATGTAAGCCTTTCAATTCTGCATCATTGTTTTTGGAGATAATGACACAAATAGTCTCTGAACTTTGACCCTATGTGCAATGTGGTTCATGAAATTTATTTTGTTCAATATGGTCTTTGAATTTTAGCCCAATGTGCAATGTGGTCCTTCGACTTTCAATTTGTTTAATATGGTCACTAAATTTTTGGTAAATATTCAAGTTAGTTCCTGGACTGTATGAAAATGTTCAATGTTAATTTTTCTTAACCCATTTTTGGATGGGTTTATAAAAGGGTGAGACACTAAACTTGAATTAATAAAAGGATAAAATTGAACATTTTCATTGACTCTGAACTTGCGTATCTTATGTAACAGCTGCTGTCATTGTGGCAAAGAAAGAGACATGGCGTAGAAGGGAACTATGGAACCGCATACAGGACTTCCGTGCTCTCACTGGAATACCCATCTTAAGTCCAATAATCTCTCTCATTGTTGGTAGTGAAGAGAATGCCTTGCAAGCAAGCAGGTCCTCTCTCTCTCTCTCTCTCTCGCTTGCACGCACACATGAATGCAGGCACGCACTAATACTCGCTCTCATACTCATTCACTTGATGTCTATAATGGTTCCTGAGCTTCTTAACCATGAATAGGCATATGCTGGAGTCTGGATTTCACGTGACTGCAATTAGACCCCCAACAGTTCCTCCGAATTCATGCAGGTTCATGCACCCCTTGTTTTCATAGACTTATTTTTGTTTAAATTCTCATCCGTCCGGAAATATATTAAGAGGAACATACTGTCGTTTCCTTTTAAATGAATCAGGGTTGGTGATATTGAGAAGTTTATATCATTGACCTTTACAAATTGTTTAAACCAGTTAAACCATTTGCCTTATGTTCCTAGATAGATTGTATTACTCTTAAGTTACTCAGATAAGTTCATTGCTTGCTCAGGCTAAGGGTAACTCTGACTGCAACGCACACAAAGGATGATCTAGTGAAGCTTACTCAAGCACTTTCCTGCTGCATCAACTTCCAAGAGTTATCCATCCATTGCCCGAAAGTCTATGCTAGACTATAAGGCATAACTTTTTACCTACTACTCAATCTTGTTTTCGGTTCTCCATTCTTCATGTAAGTCAAATTATCACTAGTCTGTTCTGAGTAATGTGTTTTATGGCTGGAACGTTGGTCGAGCTACTAGTTAATGTTCATGTCTTTTAATGGGTAGGGAATTTTAAATAAAATACTCAACATATAACTGTTACTGAAGTCTGCCCTGCTCAAATACTACAATAGCCAAAAACTACAGTGTCCAATACATTAACGAGCCTCTTGTGCTTATACTACGTAGTTCTTTCACAATGAGCCAGTAGCCCATGAAGGGCCATTGAAGTTTGCCAGACAATTACAAGTAGTTGACTAGAGATCTATAGGTTGCACCAGGCTTCCAGTTTTCTGGAATCACGTTCTTGGCCACTATGGTCTCCCTTGAGTATTGCGATGTCAGCTGAATTGAGAACGGCGGTTGCATCTCTGAGGCAGCGTCCAGCTTCCAAACAGCGCCCCATGACTGTTGCATCGACCTCCACTCCTCAGACCCCATTGAAGCTTCCTTTAGTGATACCGCTGCTAGATCGCCATCTCCCTCTTCATACTCAACCAGCACTGCAAAGTAGTTAGAGTTGGACCCTAAATCAACATGGAATGCTATGGTTCTTCCCGAGTAATTGCACGCAATTCTGGAAATATAAGAAATGCATGGAAGGTGTCAACTGAATTGGCAATACAAATCGAAACACTCACTGAGCCAGAACTTTTTCGGGTATGTTAGATAAGTTACCGAGCATATCGGATTTTGAGGATGCCAGCATCCCGGAGTTTGACTTCTTCTCCTGCTTTAGCCATAGCACCGAATGCAGTCCCGCTGAGGTCGAAATGGGCAGAATCAGTCACACAGGGACCTCCGGGGCAACAGTCTGTGATGACCACCCTCATCGGTTTGCCCGAACAGGATGGATGCATTCTTTTGGGACATTTGATCTACCAAGTAAAGATAGAACCATAACTGTATATTAGTAGGTTATGCACACTGATATGAACCCCGACAGTTTCACCTCCATCTGCTACATTGAAGGTGAGCGTGCGTTGTGAAAGCACAGCTTTGGAAAATCAAGAAGTTTTGGACCGACAGAATCTCACTCTGTTTCGATTGTAATGCAAGATTTTCAGGCATTTTCATACACTACACGTGAATCTACTCTAACATGTTTGCGAAGTTTGCAAAATAAATGGAGTGTACCTTGTAGCAAGCTCCACACTCTTTGCCTGATTTGTACAGAGAAGGGCCGATTCCGGTCACCATGGAAGAGAACGGAGGTTGCGACACCACATTCCCGTATCCACAAGATCCGCCTACAACATGTCCATTGTCCACATACATTGTTATTCTCGCATAGATCAGATGGAAAACAATCAGACCAAGTCTCTGTGCATTACATACCATCGCTACCGGCTCCATTGGGACTTCCGTACCAGGTTGCTCCGGCCCAAGACCAGCGGGTTCCGAATGTTGTTAAGTTCAAGTGCTTGGCTTTGAAGCCGATGCACGTCTGGCTGAAGCCAAGCGAGGCTACCACACACAAGAAGATCGAAGGGTGAAATGGAAATGAGTTATGAGTGGCCATGTTTTGTGTTCTCTATGACAAGGACTTTCGCATGTTCTAGTAAGAAAGAGCTTTGATCGACTTGAATGTCTGTAAACTCTCTACTATATATAGGCACAGGAGGAGCAAGCATTAGTGGGAATCATTGGTTTGGTTGCTCGTGTTTTTGTTGTCGGCTTCTACATTTCATCGTAAAGCTTATAGAGGTAGTGGGATAATTGTCCAAAAGTCTTAAACCTATTGTATGGAGGCTAATTCAGCTTTAAATCTTTCAATTGTACCAATTTAGTCTTAAACCTTTTGACGATTTGCCAATTCAGTCCTAAACCTTTTTTTGTGTCAATTTGGTTCAAAACATTTTGAAAGTTCTCCAATTTAGTTCTAAACCTATTATTTGGATATTTGATTGGAACTAAAAAGACTGCATTGGCAAATTGTCAAAAGGTTTATGACTAAATTGGAAAATCAAAACAAGGTTTAGGACTAAATTGACACTATTGAAAGGTTTAGGACTAAATTAGTAAATCGTCAAAAGGTTTATGACTAAATTGACATAATTGATATGTTTAGGATATTTTGGGCAATTTTCCTTATTGCCACTTTTTCAATTAACTATTCTAATCAAAGAGACCCCAAAAAGTTCGATAATGACATTGACATTGGTTCGAGATTTTGTCGAAGAAAAATGCGAAAGAGTGCAACAACAAGCAACGCTGGTCTAGTCATAAAGTTCCAACATGCTAGTGAACATGTAACCCAATATAATACATGCTATGGCCGGTTACATATTTGGGAAGAACTGCATTTTCTATGATTGATGTTGCTAATAATAATATAGAAAAGGGGTAAATTAACCCCCAAAGTTCTTAGCGAGGGGTCGCATTTCTCAACATGGTGTGAGAACTCAATAAGAATTTATCGAGAGAAACTCGACTATGATAAGACCCGAGAAGTTCGACTTGAAAGCGGCATGTTTTGGTACACTTTTATCGATTTTTACTAAATATAAAATTACCATTTTTGAGATGTTAAGGTAATAATATGAATGCCCTGACGGGATATGAATTGCCGGTCCTGTTATAATGCTATGTTGGTACGTAACAATAGTTAGATACAAATAATCATAGAAAACTGAGAATAATAACAAAAAGAAGTTGCATCCAAAAGCAGTGGGTCGTTAACAGAGAAAATTTTAAAAACAAGCTTACTTGTTTAGTGACAATTAAAAACAGATTATATATATTCTTTAACCAAGCCGATCCTCCACAAATCACAAAAAAGCAAGATCGTCGGCAGACATTTTGGCCCCGGATGATGTTCGGCTAGATTTCTCAAAATCAATGTCTTTGGTCATCAACAAAAAAGACATCCTCGAATTCAGCCGTTGATGGTGGTTATTGGACGTTATATGCGTTTAGACACCTCCCCATTTATTTGATTCGAGAGTTTATTTAAGCAGCAACCACGATTGACGTTTCAGGTTGATTGACTTGATAATTAAAATTTGAATAGAGATTGTCGATACGTGCACTTTCTAATCAAATAAAATTATGGTGGACGTCGATTTGGCAGTAACGATTATACATTGGTGGCGATAGTTTTGGATTTTTTCACTGCATGCCTTAGGGCCACGAGTTCTTGAATTGAAAAATCAAACCGATAATGAAGTCTTAACCACCATATCTTTGATGTTAACATAATTTGTCGTGCGTAACTTCATGTACTCTTATAATTACGCAGGACTTCTATTGAACCCACGATTCCTTTGCCGAAAGAAGAAGAGCTAAATGATTTTTTTTAATGCGTTCGATAATCACGGTAAAAATTTACTTTTTTTTTATGTGGAAGATGAAGGCATGTGATCTAGAGAGCTCCACATAAAGCAATTTAGAGATAATGACATATTTTCTATGCAATTATTGCCCGATAAGAATTGTTACGAATGCGATCGTTGGCAAAGGTGTCGGGCTAGATGGCAAGCGAGTTGGTTTTTATCCTCGTCGTCTTGGGTTCAAATTAGGAGCGTTTTAGCGGTGAAAATTTCGAGCGCAAGCCAATGCGAGGGAGTGCACCTTTAAGACCACCCGAAGATGTTCATTTGTATAGATGCCTGATAATTGACCTAGATACTACTTGATCACTAGATAAAAAGGAAATTACAATCATTAACTCCTTTTTTCCGACCCGAAATCAATTTCCTATAGGTTTAGGTTTTGGTCTGTTTGGGGCATATATATATTTTACTCGTTTTTTGATCATTGTAACGAGTTGAGTGGCTGTAAACCGAAAATATAGTGAAATCTCTTTGCGTGGACGTAGCCCTAATCGAGGGTGAACCCGGGTAAATTCGTGCATCGTCTATTTTCTCGTTTTTACTGCGTGATCGTTCTCGCTTGGTTCTCGATACGTCCTTCAATTGGTATCGAGCCTGGAGTTGTTCGAGGAATTAGGGTTTATTCGAGATGTCGGAGGATCACGAATGAGATAGAAAAATTCGACGGAACGCGGTTTGATCTGTGGAAGATGAAGATGGAGGATCTTCTCTCGTGATCGAGATCTTTGGTCGGCAATCGAACGGAAAGGCCCTGTTGCTACGCAACCTGGCTGTCGTGATAGGCAAGGAAGCGGTGAGGAAACGGATTCAACTTCCAAACTGGCATCCAAAGGAGATTGAAGGCTCGAATCCGATCGAAGAGCAAAGGGTTTGATTCGGCTTTGTCTCGCGGACTCGATTCGACAAACGTGATGGGGAACCTACGGCCCTGGGGACCTATGGCGAAGCTAGTGAGTCGCGTATCAAAGTAAATCGTCTGGTTAATAAGCTGTTTTTGAGGAAAAAGTCAGATAATCTTCGGATGCATGAGGGCGACTCGTTTTACGCACATCTGTATAACTTTAACACATTGATTAGTCAACTCGTATCAATCGGTGTTAAGTTCCAAGATGATGATAAGGCAATAACCTTTCGCTTCCCGTTCACTTGCCGGATTCATGGGATAACCCGATTGTGGTGATCGGTGGTGGGGATAAGGAATTATCGTATGAAAGTGTGTGTTACGCCTGTTATCGGAGGAGACACGAAGAAAGGGATCGGGAAATTCCGGTAAAGAGGCATTGGCGGCCAGGGAAGGCCAGCAGATAAGACTACGAATCCGAGAGGATCCAGATCCAAATCTAGTAGCGATCGAAGAGTAGGGAGAGAAAGAGTCAGATCTTGGAAATGTCAAGAGTGGGGCCATGTGAAGCGGACCGTAAAAACAAGCCGCTTTTAAGAAAGAAGCTGAATCATCCTCGGGTAAAAGGAGGTCGATGCGGAGATATGTATTTGGCTGCATGTATGTATGCAATGACAAGGATATATGGTTGATCGATACCGGTGCTTCATACCACATGACGCCTCATAGACACTTGGTTTTGTGAATATGAGCAATATAATGGTGGGGATGTCATGCTCGAAGATGATCTGCATGAGTTCAAATTGTCGGGCGTGGCGGGGTGAAGGCGAGGATGAGTAATGGCACGGTGAAGACTATTCCGGCGTGATGCACATACCCTTGATGAGTAGAAATTTGTTATCGGTCGGTACGATGGGCGATTCGGGGGTTATTTTTTAGTTGTGATAAAGATTCGTGCAAGATGACTCGAGGTTCTATTGTGATTGCACGAGGAGTCCGTTACGGGACATTATACAAGCCGCTCGGGGAAACAATGACTATTGGTAGCGGGTTCGTTTCCGAAGAGGCCAAGGAAGATGGACATGAAACGTCCATGCTTTGTGGCATCGAGAGGTTAGGGCATATCGGTGAAAAGGGACCTGTCTACCTTAGCTTCAAGTCGATGGTAGAAGGAATTCCAAAATGCTCTATGGGTTTCGGGTTCTGTGAACACTTGTCTCCATGGAAAACGAACCGAGTTAGCTTCCAACACACCGGTACAAGAGCAACCGAGGTTCTCGAGCCGATTCACGGCGATGTCTTTGGACCTACTCGACTCCATCTATTGGAGGATCCGTACTATGTATCGTTCATAGATGATTTTTCGAGATATAGTTGGATTTATTTTATTAAAAGTAAATCGGATGTATTCGAGAAATTTCGAGAATTTAAGGTTTTGTTTGAAAACCAATTGGGCAGGAAAATCAAGGTCCTTCGTACAGATAACGGAGGTGAATTCGTTCTGGATAAGTTCGAGCAATTTTGTGTGGATAATGGTATTGCAAGGCGAAGACGACTCCATATACGCCTCAACGTAGAATGGGGTAGCCGAAAGATTAAATCGGTCACTCATAGAAAAGGCAAGATGCATCTTGAGTTGTGCGCGAGTTTGGGGTCGAATTTTGGGCGTAAGCTGAGCACACGGTTATTTGAAGAACCGGTCACCGACCTCATCGTGAAGGATCGTACACCATATGAGGCGGTGTTTGGGAAGAAGCCGAATCTGTCCCATGTTCGGTGTTCGGGTGTGACGCATATGTTCATGTACCCAAGGAGAAGCGGGGTAAGCTTGACAACAAGTCCGAGAAGAACATATTTGTCGGATACAAGGAAGGGGTCAAGGGCTATAAGCGTGGAATCCGAATCAAAGACCATTGTATACGAGCAGGGATGTTGTCTTTCGTGAATCACGCCCCCAGGTTGGCACACAGAAAGGTGATGAGCCCAAGAAAGTGGTAGTGCTTGAAGAAAGTCCTAAAATTGAAACTGTGGAGATGATTCCACAAGGCACGCTAGTAGAGTCTGATTTTGAATCGGAGCAAGGGGACTCGGTTAATGAAGTTGAGGATGCAGATTCAGATGAAGACCCGGATATAGATAGCATGCCGGCTCTCGGAGATCGACGCGGAAAGAAAGGTACCACTTCGATACTCACTTAGTGCTTTGAGTACGTTTCATGCTTTGAGCATTACCGAGATGATCCTAGTTCGTAAAAGAGGCGAGATCTATGGATGATGCGAATCGGTGGGAGCTCGCAATGATAGATGAGATGCGTCGCTTGATAAAAGTGAAACATGGAGCTTGTGTAAATTGTCTAAGGATAGAAAGGCAATTGGGTGTAAATGGGTGTTCAAGCGAAAGCTGAAACCGGATGGGACCGTAGAGAAGTACAAGGCTAGGCTTGTAGCCAAGGGGTCTCGATTGAGGGAGTTGACTATGACGAGATT